TTCCTTCAAACTGTTAATGGGAAACCTCATTAATCTGAAGAGTTTGTGGTATATGCTTACTTAGTAAGTGAAAGGTGGCCCTTCCACATCACTGGGAAAATTCTTTCAAAAAAGGTTTCTTTTTAACTCTTCCCAAGTCACAGGTTTCTTAGAAACTGAGTTTTTAGTTTTGATGGTAATGTCAAGCTACACATCCCCCACAAACATGTTATTGCATATGCTTAAAACTTGACATTTACTTCAGTACTTTATCAAATACCAAAATTCATTATCTTTTAATTAACACTCATAATCTGGTCTCCAAAGTCCTATATAATTATACTTCAATTATCTCATATTTTTAATTGAATAATTTATAATTGTTCAGGAATTAGACATTTTAACTTTTTCTTTAGAAATATTTTCAGATGGGCAGAAAATACATAAAAATAATTCTTGTATACTCTTCATTTAGATTTTTCAAGTGTTGGTATCTTTTTTTTTAAGATTTTATTTCTTTATTTTTAGAGAAAAGGGACGGGAAGGAAAAAGAGAGGGAGAGAAACACCAATGTGTGGTTGCCTCTCAAGTGCCCCCTACTGGGAACCTGGCCCACAACCCAGGCATGTGCCCTGACTGGGAATTGAACTAGTGACCCTTTGCTTCGCAGTCTCATGCTCAATTCACTGAGCCACATCAGCCAGGGCCAAGTGTTAACATCTTAACATATTTTCTTTATCACAAACTAGCAAGTACTAATTAAGAACATGTCAAAATCTGCTCAATGAATACCACATTTACTTATAATGAGGATAACAAAAGCACTCTAGATATTTCTACTTGCTTAAATACAAATATATCCTAATTTTACACCCTTTACTATCTTTAAAAAAAGGTCAGTTTTTTAATTTTCTTTCTCACCAAATTAGAAACAAAGTCCAACCCTAGGGGGGCTATAGCCTGAATAATTGGTTTGGAAATGCAGACCTCCAGGCAAGTCAAAAGCCCGGAAGGCAGTGCAGTAGTGTGTGTCTAAGTGTGAACAGAAGAGGGGAGGTTGACATTGGAGTGATGAGAGAAGGGGACTGAAAAGGTTCTAATGTAAACTCAGAGTGTCTTCAGGAGGATGGCTTCAGGCCACATGGAGGCACACCACATTTACCTTTCAGATTCCATTGCTGAGAGTCAGTGGCCCAGAAGTAGGGACTAGAGATGGGAATAGAAATAGGAAACAGAAGGATAAATGGAATTGTAGAAACAACCCCTAAAGGGGTGAACAAACTACGGCAACCAAGCTGATAACTTTCTTTTTTTTGAGAGGAAGAGAGAGAAACACTGATTTGTTGTTCCACTTATTTCTTCCATTCATTGGTTGAGTCTTGTATGTGCCCTGACGGGGGATCAAACCTACAACCTTGGCATGCTAGGAGGATTCTCTAACCAACTGAGCTACCTGGCCTGGGCCAAGCTATTCATGAACTATTCATTAACTACATCTTATGTACCAGACACTATGTTAGGTACTTTACAGACATTCTCTCAAAAACTCTTACAACCATGTTGTTCTCATTTCTGAAGAGGAAATCAGCTACAGAGAATACATTATTTACTTGACACTGCACAGCTATTGTAAGTGGCGGAAACAGAAATCAAACCAAATCTGACACATTGTAAAGCCAGAACTTAAAACATATGCGAGTTAACCAGTGAAGGAATAACACATTTGAGCTCACAGTAAGGAAGAATTTGTATAGTGTGATCTTAGAACATTGAGAGTATACCTGTAATCATCTGTTTGCTTTGTTTCTTCTGCCTAGACTGTGATCTCTTTGAAGACAGGATGTGTTTCTCATATCCATCTCCCATGAAAGGACAAAATTGAACTGAGTAAATTTGAGGATTGAATTGGCTTTATTAAGAGATCCATGAATCAGGCAGCAACCCATCCAGCAAGTAAAAGGGCGCTCTCACTCCCAGGAGTTATACAAAATGGGAAGTTTTTATAGTCAGGAGGGTGTGGCAGACAAGTTATTAGCAAAAACCAGAAAGGATTATTTTCAGGCCAGGACCTCTTCTTTTGGGTTAAAAGGACTAGCAGGGATTTTATTAAGTAGATTACCTCACTAGTTTTGATCAGGATATTCTAGAACAATTGTTTTAAAATTCCACCCCTGGGAGACTGAAACTGTAATTAGGTTAGTTACTAAATTTTGGTTTGGTGACATGACTTAGCAAAAGTGATTCCTTTCTGCCCTGTTTCTTTCTTTCTTTCTTTTTTTTTAACCCTTCCAAGTACCTAATAAACAATGGACACAAATTCAGCCTTACTTATTTATTGAATATTTACAATGTGCCAGACCCAAGGCTCTGGGACAGGGCTGGCTTCATGTATGTGCAAATGAGGCAAGAGACAGCATAGGAAGAATTCTGAGGCTGCGCTGCTGTTACTGGCCAGCATCTAGCATCCTGGTCGCCAGGAAATGCCTTTTACCAATTAGGTAGATTAAATAGTAAACCAAGGCAGAGAGGAGGAAGGAGAGATGTCTCACACACTAACTCAGAAGTCCCGAGCCTGGTCTGATAATATTGTCAGGTGTTCCAACATCACAAGAAACACTATGTTAGCAAGGAAGAAGGGAAATCCTTGAAATTCTATGTAGTATTTCCACTATCTGGGGAGGAAAGCTTTGAAACTGTACTTCCAAAGTTTTGAATGCAGCAGAGGGTCCTGGAATGCAGGAGAAGGTCCCTGGTGTCCAAAAAAGAAGCCCATAAAACAACTTTGGTTAATTGTCTACCTCTGGACACTGTCTTTTTATGAGGGAGTCCCTAATGCTTACAGAAAGAGCCCATAAATAACTCTGGGTAACTGCCCATATTTTAATTAACTGCCTCCTGTCACATATTAGTTTTACAACAAGATGAACAAATGCGTCTGGAGCAAGATAAGGATTTGGGCCAACAGATCCCCACACATACCTAAGCTTGGGTAGTCACATTCCCCCAGGAAAGCTGACAACCACATTTACCTGTTAATCAATAGGTAACTTTTTTCTCCTATCCCACTACCTACGTAAGTCCTCAGAACAAAGGGCTTGCTCTCTCACTTTCTCTCTCGGAGGCTCAGGGTGCTCTTGGCTCCCCCGCCACTGAGCCTCTGGCCCCCAGCCTCAGGCCACCCGGGGGCTTGCCACCCTGGTCTTCAGGTGCTTTTACTTTTGCCGCGCTGCTTTGCCCTGAAACTTTGCCTTTCACTCCCCGCCCCCACCCCACTCTATCTAGTCCCGTTCTCTTCCATGGGAATGGGTCACTAATAACCTGATTACACGCTAATAGATTTGCTAATCTGTAATTCTTTACATGCATCAGCAAGAAAAACCAGTTCTTTCCCGTCAACACAACTAGTGTAGTTACACCAAGCTGTATGCTCAGAATGGCACTTGGTTTAATGCTCTGCTGTCCTCTTGAAACTCTTAATTTTATATTTGAACTTTTGTTTAAGACTGATAGAGCAATGGAGTATGCATGGAATGAGAGGTGGTGCACTGTGCAGGCCCACCACCATTCTTAACTAACTCCATTTACATAATGCATTTGTGGGGCTGGCTAAACATAAAATTCTGGTGGACCCATGATCCATGGGGGTTTAGTGAGACTCAAAGTCCCCAGATTCCACAGTGTTGGTACAGTGTACATCAAGAAGTAAAATAAATACAGCTGAGTTAGTTTTGTTTTGTGCATTTTCCACTGTTCTAATAAGAACAGTAGTTGTATGAGTTATGAAATACAAACTGTGAAATTTCAATGATTCTGAATGAGTGAAATGTTCTTATATTTGTATTTAAGACTGGCATTGCACAATATAAAGAGTGGTAAAATTCATGCTGGTAGTTTAAATTTAAAAATTTTCTTTGAGTGAATAGCAAATTAATAATAATAGTAAAATATTTAAGAGCATGATCAACAATGCTATCAATGATTAATAGCAAATTAGTGTAATTAATTAAAACACCATGACAAGTCAAAAAGGATTACAGAAAAAAGGAGATAACTTATATTTTAGTACCTTTAATGATATTTTTCCCAATTTTTGAACAAGGGACCCTGAATTTTCATGTTATACTGAGCCTCCCAAATTACATGACTGGGCCTACTGCTAAATACGGCAGTAGATAAGACATGCAATACCTGTCCTGGAGCTCGCAATATTTCATAGACTGGAAATGCCTACAGGATTAGAATTTTTCTGCCTGGGTTCAACATTTGGAGCAAAATTGAGTGAAGAGACCAGTTTACCTTTCAGATCCGTCCAATCCCGAGATGACACTAACTCTAAACTAAGAGTAGACAGGTGTAGTGGTTTATAAGATGATGCAAGAGGTTTGAAAATGGACAAATCAAACCAGTTTATTCCATTTTGTAACAACTTTGGTGAAGAACCCTCACCAAAACTAAGCTAGTTTAAACTGTCTTATCTTAATAGTGAGTAACTGTTCAGGGAACTAAGAGGAAAAAACTGAGAAAAATAATTTATCTCTAGTGATACGTTAACCAACTCCTGCGAGGGGTACCCTGGTTTACAGTGAAAGAGTGACGTAACAAAAGTCCAAAGGTGGAGAGGGAACTGGGTGTGCTCCGGAGCAACACTGGCTTCCAGTATAAAGGTTCCTTAGTTTGAGTGACAGGCAAAGCATGATCCTTTCACAGTTTAATACAGAAGAGATTTTTGAAGGCAAAGGTAGACATAATCTGACAAAACACACTTGGCATCACCCACCAACCCTGGACGCCAAATCAGCAAGTGGGAAACAAATCAGGCTGCATGGCGGTTTCCTCACAGTTCACATCCACTCCGCTCACTTGACCCCCCAGTTTCTTTTTGTCATTTGCCAAAAAGTTCTTGGCCATAACACTTACCTAATAGGTTAGGGAAGGAGGCACCTGAATCCCCTCTCAGTTAACCCCGCCTCCTCTGGGTTAGGAGTCAGGCTCCGCCCACCTTGAATCACTCCTCCCACCTTCGCGATCAAAATGGCGCTCCCACAATCCCGCCTCTCACGTTCTTTCCTGAACTAAGTTGTTATCGCGAGATTTTGGCTCCACTATTAGCTGGGTGGCGCGGTTGGCTCTGTCCTTTTTCTTCTGCGAGGTTGACGAGGTAGGTGGTTGTTTCTTCTTGGAGTGCTGAGGTCTGGCCATTGCTGGGTGCAGACCTCCGAGGTTTGGGTTTTAGGCGGCGAGTACTCTGCTGAGGCTGGTACTGAGCCCGCGCGGGTTGGTGCAAGCCGTTCGCTGACGGGGATGAGTAAGGAGAGGCCTAGGCCACCCAGGCCTGATGCGTATAGGAGGGGTTGCGCTTCTAACTTTTCTCGGGACACCCGCGTTGCGGGACCTTCGATCCGGTGAAGTCAGGCCCTGAGGGTGGAGAGCTCGAGTTCTGGGCTTCGGGTCTAGCGTTGGGTTGCGGCCCACACATAAAAACGATTATAACGTGGGTGTGATCCAGAGTGTGTTCTGAGTTGTAGGTGTTACAGACCAGTACAGGTGTTCTGAGTTATTAAATGTTAGGTAACACTTAGGCCATTTTCTCTGACTGAGATTGGGTGATTCCTGGAGACAGTCGCTCCAAGGTCACGTAATAAGCGGTCAGAGAGGTATTGTTAGCGCTGGTAAAGTGCATTCATTACCTGGCCATGTGGCCTCGCAGAATCTCGAATAGGAAGGGATACTTAAATAGGAATGCTTTCTCAGTTACGTAAAAAGTGATCTTTTGAATTAACCACAGTTGTGATAATGTTCTAATATTTTTTAAAAAATTAACCTCAAATAACCACCACTGCCATTTAACCCAATTTTGTTGAATTTCGTTCCTGAGCATTTCATGACATAGTTTGGTTTTTGCCTTAAAAAGCTACAATAAAACCAGGAAATTACCACGCGAGTCCATTGGACGTTTTGAAAATGTAAGATCTGTGTGATCTTACCGATTTTCTATATTTGAAATATTTTGCTGTTAATTGTAAGATTGCTTTTCATCTGTATTCATTGGTCATTCTCAATTATAAACACTATAAACAATACAAAAATGGAATAATAATGACATCCTCTATAAGGGAGGTACGGTTATAAATTAAGATGCCATCTTTATTTTTATTTTAAGTTTTGCCCAAACTGTTGTAAAATACTTAAGTTTTTTTTTTAAAGGAAACTAAAGGGCATCATTGTTGTAGTCTGATAGCCTTTCATTGATGTATGAGAATTCAGAAATTTTACATTAATATCCATAATAGCAAAAAATATGTGAAGAAAGATGTTTCACAGTGATTTTGTTGAATAATAGTATGAATGGGAAAAGGCCATAAATGAAAATCCTAGACCAGGAATTTAAAAATGGCGTGTTGGATTGAGATAGTAAATAATGGTTATTTTTCCTGGTATACTGAGGCCACACTCAACCTTCTGACATTGTATGTAAAATTTTTCTAGGAGGTCCCATCTCCTTTTGGAAAATGGTATGTTAATACTTGTAATTGCACATTACCATGGCTAATAAAATATTTTAAATGATACTATTTTTTGCTGTCATGTAAAAGTTTGATATTTTAGAGGGGAATGATACTATTGTAGAATCTTGTTCCACTGGATAGCTTTAGAGGTACAACTGAAAGATAGAACTTGTCAGTAAAATTTCTGGATTTTTAGAGTTTGTTCTGAAATACATGGTTCCTACATGAAAATGTTAAAGGCCTTGTAAATGATTGTGCCTTAGTTTATATATGATGGCATAACTTCTACATCAACTTTTGTATTGCGTGGATATTAGCTGTTTCTGCTGACAATTATTTGTTTAGGGAATAAGTACATATGCATTGTATGTTGTCAGAAATTTGGTGAAAGCAAAAGAACAAGTGACGGACTCGGAGGGACTGAGAGGGACTCGGAATACCTATCAGCAATGGATTCTCTGGACTATATAACAGCATCGGATTCAGCTATGGAAAATGAAAATCAAAGGTAAGTGCCTTTTTTTTTTTTTGCATCAACAGCAATGATCAGATTTTTACTAGAAAACACTAGATTTGAAGGTAATGTTTACTGTATTTGAATTACCAGGAAAACATAAGTCATTGTAAATAATGAGTGGCAGTAAAGGTAATTTCCAAGAATTAGGAAAGAAAAACCTTTACACAGACCTTCAAAGTTTATCTACATGTATACGGCGCATTCTTAACCCAGGGAAACCAGAATAGTTTCTCTGGGCCAACTTGGTATCTCAGCTTGACTAAATAACCCTAATTTTATAACAAGAAAAGGGATATTGGTATAGACTGTTAACATTCAGCTTAGTCTGATTATTGCACTTTATCGAGAATGCTGGCTTAGGTGTGTGATGGAGATGTTTCCTTACTTCATGCATTGACCTTACTCGTATATTAAATCAGTGTTTCTAGTATATTCACATCAAATATCTATTAGGTATATCTTGTTTTATTTAGAGGAGGTTTTGTTTTAATTAGAGGAACCTCTAGCAGTGAACAAGACTGCCTGTGTGGGACTTGTGTTTCTCTCAAAAGATGATTTGGTAAGTGCTATGGCATTTTGGGCCATTTTAGGTAGAGTGACCAGGTCAGAACTAGTTGGCTACTACTGAGCTCATCATTTTAGAAGTTAATCCTCAGCAGGTGTTTCTGTTTTGGTCTGTGGCAGAAAAATACATTACTGGTAATAGGCATTTTGTTACATAAACAGGGAAACAATTAATCCCCCTCCCCCCCCCCTTTTTTTTTTGTAGCGATAACTCTTCCTCTGGTAGCAGCTTATTTAAAACTCAATATGTTCCTTGCTCACCTAAACGGAGGCAAAGAAATCCTGTTAAAAAATGTGTTAGTTCACTTGAAAGTGTTCAAGCAAGAGATTCATCCAGTGATTCGTCTTTAGAACCAAGACCATTGACTTTGAAAGCTATTTTTGAAAGATTCAAGAAAAAGAAACGTAGAAAGAGGAAATATAAGCCAACAGGAAGACCGAGAGGAAGACCAGAAGGAAGGAAAAGCACTAGGTCAAAAATAAATAAGAAACAACTTAAAGATAACAGACCCCAGTTGCCTTTTTTAGAATCAGAGAATGGAAGAAAACCATTACCTTGGAGAAATATTTTAACGTTTGAGGTGAGTGAGTATATGTGGGTACCATAACTAAAGTGCCTGAAATGGTTCATTGGTCACTTAGAATTTAGGTGTACCTGACTCAGTTAAGAACCACCCAGTCTTTCAGCTCATACTTCTCTTGGGCTACTGGTTGAAATCTTCACTGGTATATTCAGTGACCATACCTGTTTTTGAAGTGCTCCAAGGCTATTTATATAAAACCCCTTGATTTCATCCTATCACGTTTTTCACATCATCCCTAAAACTCAAAAGAGATTCCCAGTTATAACCTAGATAAAACCCACAATTCCCTTCATGTTCAATGACTTCAGTAGATTTCATCTTTTAGAGATTTGAGTATTCTATTTCTGACATGATTGCCTGGTAAAGTGTCCAGTACTATATACTCAGGTATTTGAGTTAACTTTTTTAAATTGATTATGCTATTACAGTTCTAATTTTTCTACCTTTGCCCCCCTCCACACAGCATCATTCTCCCTCAGGCAATCCCTACATCATTGTTTATGTCTTTGGCTACTGCATTTTCTATACTATACTGCTTTTCCCCTCATCTTCATCCACTCCCCCACAGTCGCCTCCCATCTGGTAGTCATTAAAATGCTCACCTCTCTTATTTGCTTAGTTTCTTTTTTAGATTAAATTGTTGATATTATTCATTGCTATTTTACTGTTCATGGTTTTGATCTTAAACAAGTCCTTTTAATTATTTCATATAATAATGGTTTGGTGATGATTGTACTCCTTTAGTTTTTCCTGTCTGGGAAGGTCTTTACCCCTCAATTCCAAATAATAGCTTTGCTTAGTAGAGCAGTCTTGGTTGTAGGCCCCTCCTTTTCCCGACTTTGGATATTTCTTGCCAGTCCCTTCTAGCATGCAAAGTTTCTTTTGAGAAATCAACTGGCAGTCTTATGGGAGTTACCCTGTAGGTAATGGCTTTTCTTCCGCTCTTTTTAGGGTTCTCTCTAAACTTTGGCATTTTAATTCTGGTGTGTCTCAAAGTGGTCCTGTTTGTGTCATCTTGTTTGAGACTCTTGTGCTTCCTGGACTTGCATGACTTATTTCCTTCCCCAGATGAGGGAAGTTTTTCATTTTTTTCAAAAGATTTCCAGTTTCCTGCTCTTCTGGCACCCCTCTGATGTGAATGTTGGACCTCTTGAAGTTGTCCCAGGGGCCGCTTACACTATACTTGTTAATTTTGGATCCTTTTTCCCTTCTTGTTCTGATTTTTTTTCCTTCTGTTCCAAATCATTAATTTGATTCTCAGCCTTCATCCACTCGACTGTTTACCTGTAAATTGTTCCTTATTTCAGTTACTGTATCCTTTGTTGTTGACTGGATCTTTTTATGCTACAGAGGTCCTCAGTAAGTTCCTTGAGCATTGTTATAACCAGTGTTTTGAACTCTGCATCTGATAGATTGCTTATCCATTTTGTTTTGTTCTGTTTTGGAGTTTTGATCTGTTCTTTCATTTGAGCCATATTTCTTTGTCACCTCGTTTTGGCAGCTTTGCTGTGTTTGTTTCTATGTATTAGGTAGAGTTCTTATGACTCCCTGTCTTGGTAGCCTAATGGCCTACATGGCCTAACATGTCTATTTCTGACATGATTGCCTGGTAAAGTGTCCAGTACTAATGTAGTAGGTGTCCTACAGCTTCGAGTGGCACAGCTCCCCATCACCCAAGCTTGGTTCTTCAGTTGTGCCCTTCATGTGGGCTTAGTGTACCCTCCTCTTATTAGTTGAGTGAGACCAGAATACAGTTGGCAGGTCAATGGGAGGGATTTATGCAGGCCAGTTAGCTGCAAGGACTGGCTGTGACCCATGCCCATCAACTCTGTCCTCTATGGAGGATCCACTGTGCAGGGGCAGGGTGGTGGTGCTACAATGTAATCTATAAGCTGTCCAATAAGTGCACAGGATCTGGTTTCCCAGGCGTTGTAGGCCATGGTCAGCCTCCTGTTTTGCCCAGGGCCACACAGTGTGAGGTGTAAAGCAATCTGAGATGGCTGCTACTTATGCTGTGCTTGAAGATTCCCAGGAGAAGCCAATCTGTGAATCTAGGCTGGCTGCTGGTAGTGCTGGGGCACTTGGCTAGAGGTGTTGGGGGAGTCCTGGGGGCTCAACAAGGCTGGCTGTTACTTCTTTGAGAGGATTTAGGAAGATGTGAAGTATAAGCCAAAATCAGCCAATTGTGGAAGAGTCACTGGTAACAGCTTGGGTGGGCCCCTCAGTTGGGTGACACCAGCACTGGGATCTCCCGGGTGGGGCAGACAGTGTTAGCCAGGTTGAGGGAGTCTCAGATATCACACCTACCTGCTAGCTCTGGCTCTGTGGGAGGGCTCACAAAAGGTACAGTGCTCTGTACCTTCCTTTCTGTGTGGGAAGAAACTGTCTCCCAGCTTTTGTCTGGATGCCCGACACTTCAGTTGCTCCCTGTATGCCACTGCTGCCTTTCAATCTGCTACTCTGGTGCTTGAGCTCAGAGAGTAAATTTAAGTCCCTGTGTGGGTTCTTGAAGAGGAACTGCTTGGAATTCCAGCAGTGTCTTCCAACTCAGTCCCCACTCGTTTTTGCAGCCAAAGTTATAGGGGCTTAATATTCTTGGCACTGGAACCCTGGGCTGGGTACCTGGTGTGAGGCTGGGACCCACTCCTGAGATATCCCTTCTAAATTTTTATATCCACCGCACATGGATGTGTAGGACCAGACCAGCCCGTTGCACATCTGTGCTCTTCTACCAGTCTGGATGGAGGTGGTTTAATTCAGTGGTTGTCCGATTTCCATTCAACTCAATTTCTGACAGTTCCGAATAATGGTCATTCTGTAGTTGTAATTTTGATATGCGAGGAGGTGAGCCATGTTTTACATGTGTTGCCATCCTGACAGGAAATCTATATTGAGTTAATGTTTGCACTGTTAATATTTAATTCCTTGATTTAGGATCTGATTTATTTGAAGGGATTAATACTAGTTAATCTCTGTTTTTCAGTGATTATAATAAACATTATTTAATACCCCCAAAGCACAAATTTGTGCTTGGTTTTCTACCAAATTCAATAACTTTGATAACTTGCTAGGTAGTAGTGACTTTTTTTTTTTCAACCAGCATTTGGTGTTTTATTACATGTGAGCTTCATGTGGCAAAGTAGTTAAATCAAGTACACTAAGAGTTCTTGGTAAAGGGATCCTTGACAGTTTGGAACATAAGCATCTGCTGAGGGATGGAGGAAATTTTTATTTTGTAAGGCCATGGCTTAATGATTTTTTTGATACATAGCAAGCAGTGGCAAGAGGATTTTTCAACTACCTGGAAAAACTGAAGTATGAATACCACCTCAAGGAATCCTTAAAACAGATGAATGTTGGTGAAGATTTAGAAAAAGATGACCTTGATAGTCGTAGATATAAATACTTGGATGATGATGGATCTCTCTCTCCTATTGAAGATCCAGTGTAAGTTAACCATGTCAAATTTTGGTTATAGTTTAACAAATTGTTTCTAAATTTTAATGTTAATTTATCCATATGCTATTGATTTGTGCTGGGAGCAAATATACAGTAGGCCATCTGGGTTACTGCCATTGAGCTATGATCTTGGCTTGTGAGAACCAATTTTGGGTGTTATGCATAGCAGTGAAATTTTTCTCCTTGACTGGTATTGCTCTTCAGCTGTATGTCATGACCAAGTAATACTGACTGAGTTTTAGAAGACGTAGTCATCTGAGTGATGATATATTTAATATTACAGGGGAGAGGATGAGGTTGAAACAAACCTTGAACATGATGAATGTGATATCAAATTGGTGGTAAGTGACACTTTTATTCTACTTCATTTTTTGGAGGTCAAAAGTTGGTACAGGAGTAATTTTATCCAGTAGGTATTCTTAGAGTCTGTATTTCATTTTTGAGAGGCTTTAATATATTTGGTGTTGAGAATAAAAAATACATATTTGGGGGATAGTTGGACTTTTCAATGCTATTACTAAGTTTTATATGCGGATATCGAGTGAGAATAAAAACAGTATTGAATTTTTAACATCTAGATGTAGCCAAGGTTGAAATCACCTGGTAGAGTTCAGTTTTGTGTAATTGCTAAAGGGATAGAGTTTTAGTTATTACTTAATGTTGGCATCTTTTATGCAGGAGAATAATTACTTCATAATAAGTTCTGAATTACCAAAGAAGATGAATGTGTATTTAGAACAAGAATATACTGGAGAAGCTGCTTTGTCTAAAAAGAGAGTATCAAAGTGCAAAAACTTTGGACAGAAGACAGAACAGCCTGAAAAGGAGATAGGAATATGAATATCAAGGTAAAGAGACTAGAGAAAAAGAAACTTCACAGAAAGTAAAAGATGATGTATGTATGCGAGCCCAGTAATAAAACTTTTAAGGGAAAATAAAAAGATCTTGTAAACAAGTTTGTAAAAAAAAATGCTCAAGAATAAGTAATTATTAGAAAACATTTTAAAAGTGAAATGATGTATGCACAGAAAATTGAGGTTTTCATAGCAGAAATAATCTCTTGCAAAATAATAAGGGGCCTATACTTTTTTATTTCAGGGCAGGAGAGCTTAAAGGTATCATTTGAGCATTGAATCAAAGTAGAGAGATTGTAGTCCTAAAAAAGTCTCTGTAATCTTTAGTAAATGACAACCAGTTACCCTTCCTTACTATATCTGAAACTCCCTGCTGTAGTTTTATTCAGAAAAAATAACTGTCAGTGTCATGTTTAGTACTAATAAGAATTTAATTCCCCCTTAACAGCCTAGAATGTTTTCACTTCCATCATCTTTTGTCACCACTGTATATTACCAGTTACGCTGTTATATAAACCACATTTTACAATAGCACTTGTGTTTGTTTTTGCTTAATTTGTGGGCAAAGACTACATACAGGTGCAGAAAATAAATCCTCTTTTGCAACCCAGAACTCATTGTTTGGTATGAGTTTTGATACATACAAGAAGGAACATGATACCTAAAACAGATTAAAGTGATGGGTCATTGATAAAAAGAAAAATTGGTTCCAGGACTGTGGATTTGATAATTAAAAAGCATAGGAAATAAGGGAAACTTCAACTATACTGATTTAGTATTCCAGTTTCAATGTTGATATGAAACAAAAGATGGCTTTGTTTGTTTGTTTGTTTGTTTGTTTGTTAGGGCATTATGTTGAAAACACAGTTTTTGGACTTAAAGGTATGTTTTATTCATTAGGTGAGTTTTTGGATCAGATTTGTTGAAATGTAGCATGTTGTCAGATAATCTAAACCTTCATAGGAAATTTTAGCATTGAGAGACTTTTTGTCAGCTTTCCAATTGTTTATGACATGATTTCAGAAAATGAATCTTAGGGAACACTGTTTAATAGTGACACTGTGCCAGCTTCACTTACTTACAGGAAGGGGTCCCAAAACTGTCAGTTGGACTATAGCAGTAATCAGAATTTTGCATTTTTCTATTTTACGCCTATAACATTTTTAATTAACGCATGATCTAAAATGAGGTCAGGTCAATATTAACAATGACTACATAGGACACAGCATTTTTAAAGTTTCGATGGTATCAAGTTCTCAAATGGTAAAAACATAAATATAGCCACATTAATATTTTTTTCTGTATTTTTATACTTAATATCAAGTAGCTAAGGAGATAAGATACTCAATTTTGAGGCAAAAATTCAGTTAAAGTAAAATTTTTTGCTCTGTAATCTGGGTATTTCATAGGTAAAACATTGCAGTATCAAAGTTCATGAAAATCAAGACTTCTGTTTTTTATACATGGATATTTTTCCTTTGGATTATGGATTATCTATAATAGCTACTTGGCATTTTGTACCTTTTTTGATCAGTGTATACTCTTCTAAACTACATTGTTGAAATACTTATGTGACTGATTTTATGGTATGATTTCCTGAACCTTAATACAGTTAAATTTTATTTGTGAATAGGAAGATGTTTTACTATTTTTATACAACTCTGAACTTAAAATGACTGGAGCATATCAGTTCTAGTAATTGTCTTCCTTTCTGTAGAGTCTTAGATTTGTCACATCTTTTAAAATGTGTAAATAATGGTTGAGGTCTATCCCGATGGGGCTTTTTCTGTAGACCTACATCGTTGGAAACGCCTCATAGAGTAAATATGTTGCTTCCTTTATTCACTGAACTATGTCTTAGATCTGTGGGAAGGAACAACAAGACATAGCTGCTAAAATTATGAAAGATCCTAACAACCTAATTTTTTTTATCTTAGGTTTTTCTATATCTCGAAGATCTGTACAATTCTAGATAGTGATAACTTAGGTAAGTTTTTGGTGACAATGTAAACTTTGGTATTACTGCAGTTCCGATGATGAATTTAACTGTTCAACTGCTGAATGATACAGACGTGAACTAAAATGTAATTCTGACAGCTGAATATAACTGTAAGGTTTTAGTTTTTAATTACATACCTGTCAAACTTTTATTTGGTGTTTTATTTGTAGGACTGATATGACATGTACTTACTTAATGTTTACAGGTAAGTGGAATATTTAATTTCTATTTATTAAGGATTCAAAATTGTGAGAAAATGCAAATTGTGAGTAGAGTAAGTCTTCATTTAACACTGTCAATAGGTTCTGCTACTTAAAGCCAAATGACATATAAGGAAGGCAGTTTGACCACAGGCTAATTGATGCTAAGTTCCTATGGTGTCTGAACTTGGTAACACAACATTGAGCAGAAGGATGTTATTCAAGGACCTCTGCGCAGCAGATTACCACATTATTGTGATAACTAATAGTGGTTTAGGTATAAAGTAGAATTGTCAGAATCTTGGTGAAAATATTTGCTGTAATTGTATTTATATGCAGAATTGGAAAAAAAAATGAAGAGATTGCTTATCTAGGGTTGCCAAATAACAATGTCCCCATTTTGCACTGACAGTTCCATATTGTTCTGCCTAATAACATGTAGATTTGGATATGTTAAAGTAGCAGAGGAATTCCTCCTAATAAGAACAGTGTGAACAACTGTGATCTTCATTTCTAGTGCAAAGAGACATGATAAAGATCATGGTGACTAAGGTTTTTTTTTTAATTTTTTTTATTTTTAGGGAGGGAATGGGAGAGAGAGATCGATCGATCAATGTGCGGTTGCTGGGGGTTATGGCCTGCAACCCAGGAATGTACCCTGGCTGGGAATCGAACCTGGGACACTTTGGTTCCCAGCCCGTGCTCAATCCACTGAGCTACGCCAGCCAGGGCTGTGACTAAGGTTTATGATTTACACGCAGTAATGTGGTTCCCTCACTAAAAGAACGATTAGGAATTGGGACATTTTCCACAATTAGATTTAGAGGTGTTTGTAATAGTTTGGTCACAATTGCACTGCATGGTATCTGCATTTAGCAGTTTATTCCTGCTGGGTGTTCAAAGGACAGTGCGATATAAATCCAGTGTCTGGCATCGTTGGTTTTCTTGGCTTTGTGCATGTTAAACCTGGTATTTTTACTGATACAGTATTCCTGTAGTTTCTTCTGTTCAGTTACACACAACTTGAATAGGAACTAATGCTTCTCTTTTTCTAGGGTGTCTAAAATTGAGAAACCAGGCAGATCCATCTACTCTGACCCTAACTGTAAGGATTTTGATTTTTATTTGTTAATTCTGGCAGCGTCTTCCCTTCACTGATAGCATATGTCAGCAGAAACTCCTATACAGATGTAGAAACCTTTTGCATAGTGTATGTATAGATTGAGAGAAACTCTTACGAAGCCTCATTCTAGATGAAAATGGGCACTGTTTTTGTACATATGTCCAGAAATTGTTAATGTGGCTACATTGAGACAGGTTTTGCTTTCATCACAGTAACTTTATTGCAGTGGTGACAATGAGACCTGTAACATTTTCTGCTAGGCTCAGTGAGTAAAAATTGGACGTAATAAAAACTTTTCAGTATATCTTACATCACCTGCTAAAATAACAATGTACTTCTTGTATTTAACTTCTAGGGCCCTAAAGTAAATTGCTTGAGGAAATTGGGCCCCAACAATTACAGGTAAGATTTTGATCTCCTCAAATTCCCTCCTAATTTGTAAGAGACATAAATTCCCTTTATTAATAAACTTGAGCATTAAGGTCTTTGGCATTTATTTAATGCTTAAAAGTAGCCCGCCTGTCCTGTGGTTTACTGTTGCCACAAAAAAAAGACAGTGTTTAAAATAAGGCCACCATGTGTTTCCACTGATGTTGTGATGATGGGGAAATGTTCAACTGCTCTGAATGGGCTGAATGAAAATAGCCATCTGAACATCCATCTGCATCAGATCTATTTCATATTTTAAAACTTGAAAGCTCTAAGGTAGAAGTTTCCTGAAACATGCTCATTTCCAAATTGCTGCCTTTGTAGTTAAAGATCAGAACTCCTTTTTTACGAGTTCAGTTGTGAATGGAAATAGATTAATCAAGCCTTAATTTTAAAGTGTATCTTACTAATACTTAGTTTAAATGAACTGGATTGAAAAGATGCTTATTCCATCTATTTGCAGCTTTAAGCCTGGAATTTTTAATACACGCTAGTTGGGAACTGGTTTTCAGAAGAGTGTGTATCCTAATCGATCCCATTTCAAAAAATGTAGCCCAGCATGAACTTAAAATTTTTTTCTCCAGGTGGGGAGTTTTTGAAATATGTCCATATGCAAGTGGAAATCAAAGATCAACTAGAAGAATTATGGCAAGTTATTCGTCTTTTTATATTATACACCAAATTATTTGTTAGAGTGTAATGGTCATTACCAAGGCTTTTAGAATGCAGTTTCTCATTTGCCGTGGACATGACCACAAAATATTTTCCCACTAGGTTTTTTTCTGCTATATTGCTAGCATTCAGCCTATTGGGAACATTTTTTTAACTCTTAACTTATTTTCACTGCCTAGGTCAGCACTGTACTATATAAATACAACACAAGCTGTATGTGCTTTTGTAATAGCCATTGGTAATCAGTGAGATTTTAATAATTGCTGTCAGATTTCTAGAGTCTTCCAGATGACCTTTGTCTAGCTAATCCTTCTAGGGTGCTTAGTGACCAAATAGTTTGTCATCACATGACCATCTCTTCCTGTTACATAGGACCAATGGTCATGGCAAGTGACTGGATTGAGCCAAAAAGGTATGCACATGTTGGAAAAGATAATTTATAGGTCATTTCAAAGAGAGCTTATGTGACCAACACCAGGAGCTCTTAACGCTGTGACCTAAGATTGAAGTTCTCCATAGGATGTAATACACACTTGATAGTGCTGTGTTTTCTTATGGAGATATATATAAAATCAAGCTATTCATCAATGATTGGTGATGCGGGAATAAGTGTTCCCCAAGTTTTTAACCACCATATACTCTTTCTTTTTTAGGAATTAAAACTTAAACTCATGAGGAACCAAGGACTCAGAACATGTGAAATTCCTTAAATAAAAATTTATTAACTTTAAATAATTGTATCTATGTTACAGATAATAAAAACTCTTTACACTTTTTGTACAAAGTCAGCATGTATTTTTGGCTCGAAGTTTCTCTAGTGTTTTCTGTAGAGGGAATAAAAAATGAAATTTAGCTGTTTTAGTTGTGGTGTACCTTTGACATGAAAAATCACTGCCAACTGCTTACCTTATGAAATTCTTTTGCCCTTGCTCTGTTTTGGGCATAAGCATCTTGCTTTGCTTTTTCTTCCTTTTGCTGTTTTACTTCAGGTAACTGATTGTATAATCTGTAATATATTTATATGGAATAATTAGAGATGCATACTTCAGAAATGTGAATTATTATTCATACAAATGCACACACATACCTTAGAGCCCTCTGCTGCATAAGGGCTTGTGCAGTCTTTCTGTCCTCAGGAAGTGACACTCTAACTTTGTTCACACCCTTTGGGTGACTCACAGATGAACCTGAGCAGAAAGCAAGTAATTTGCTGGGCAAACAAGATTCCCTTTCTGAAAATGAACACAAAAGTGTTGGAAACATACCTGTAGGATTCCCCTTGATTACTTGGCTTCTACAATTTTTAGAGACTTGTCTTTTATTCCTTATTTCTTTCTGTCTCTGGCAGGATCTCTCTATAAATGATTTTTTCCTTTTTATAAATGCTTCTTGTAAGCTTCCTGGTGCAGGTGTAAACTTTGGGAGGGTTTCTGTTTGTTTAAAAAAAAAAAAGGCTATTTTCACTTCATTGGACTTCATAGGCCTGCAAGACTGGAGACTGAGAACTTGAGTAGGGGATTCCCACTAGCCCTTGGGTGCTGAAGGCATACCTGAAGATGCTGCAGTTGGCTTCTCCACAGAATGCTCTGATGCAGCTGGATAACCTGAATTTTCTATTTCCGGTACAAGAGGCAGAAATTCACTTGCCTAATTACAAAAGTCATAGATGAAACTTACCACTTTCACCCCAATGTACAGCAAAAGTTAAGATACTACAGCCAAAACCTGATCCAGCAGCTTTAAGACTGAACGTTTCGGCAAGGGGGAAGTCTTCAATAAAATTTAAAATGCTTTATTTGACCAGCAGCACTATACAATTACTAGTCCTCCACCCAAGGCTACTTTCCCATCTTAACCCTAGACAAAAGCTTTTGGTTTTTCTTCACCTGATTACCTGTGAATATCTTAGGTGAAGTCCATTCTGATTTGGCAACAGGATACACATAATCAAGACTTGCATATAATCAAACTTATTAACCTGGAGTATTTACTAAGTTAATAAGATTATATGCCAGTCTAGAATTTGAAACATATTTTCAAAGTAAACTTTAGCTCTGGATTGAGCGCAGGCTGCGAACCAAAGCATCGCAGGTTCGATTCCCAGTCAGGGCACATGCCTGGGTTGCAGGCCACGGCCCCTAGCAACTGCACATTGATGTTTCTCTCTACCCCTTCCCTCTTTAAAAATAAAATCTTAAAAAAAAAGTATATAAAAATAAACTTCTAAAGCAGTGACATTTAATTATGTAACTATATCCACCTTGGGTTTGGATTCCCTTAACTACATGCTGGAGCACTGTCCTGCCTCTGATTACTTTGGAACCAAGTAGCTTTCATTGGGGAAAGGAAGGCAAGAATTTTTTCCAACCCAAGTCCAAATGAAATCTATAGCATCAGCAATGTTATGTAGCATTTGAAAAATCTTGCTCCCTGGCTTGTGGGGCCACTTTTGGCTCAAATGTGTACCTATATTTAGGCAAATCACATACTATGGAATTTATTGAGGGGTTGAGATGCTTTTCCATTTCCTGTCAGCTGTCAGTTTCTGCTGTAAGCACATTAAGCCTCCTGTTCAGTTTGTATAGTTTATTGCACTTGAACTAACCAAAATGAGGGAAGAAATTAGTTTGCAAATAATTTATAATGGAAATAACATGCAGAAATAAAAGTGAAAAACCAGTATCCTTTCCTGTTTCCCATTTCTTAGCTATGGGTTTACTGCATAAATGAGGTATACTAATATTGAGAGAGATATTTACCTGTAAGCTTTCTCCCTCATTCTTTTCTTCTAGGGTTAGGTTTGCAAAATCCATTTCAGCAATACTGATGTCACTGGTGCTTACTAATGTAAGTTCTGGTTCTTCCATTATACCATGGCCAGACTCTGTCTCCTGTGCAGTAAAATTAAAAAGGAAACCATGTCCAAAAATATTAGCCTTAGCCCTGGCTGTTGTGGCTTAGTGGACTGAGCACTGGCCTGTGAACCAAAGGGTTGCTGGTTCAATTTCCCAGTCTGGCCACAGGCCTGGGTTGTGGACCAGGTCCCCAGTAGGGAGCATGCAAAAGGGAACCACACATTGATGTTTCTCTCCCTCATTCTCCCACCCTTCTCCTCTGTCTAAAAACAATCTTAAAAAGACATGCAAAAACCAAACTAAAGTAGCCTTAAACATTGGAAGATGTGAAAATGTATGTTATACAGGAAGAACAACAGAACATGGCAGTGCACCTCCACTCTTAGAAATACTGGGGAGGACTTGGGGTGGGTGAAACTATGTGATCACTGTCAGAAAATATCTTCTGTAAGGATTACAGACAACGGATTACAGGGCTAGGTAGCTGCTTGGAGGTTAACGGGACTGGAAAACCAGAGGGTGTAGCCTAGCTAAAGGGCTGCAGCCAAATATAGGCCACTGCTGCCAGACTAATTTTTTAAGAGAAATACCATCTTTTAAACATTGAACAAAAATTTACAAAAACATCCAAAAGCCAAATCTGTGATCTAGATGTTGCCTTTATTTTCAGTTTCTATTATAACGCTTATATGTGGAAGGACAATACTCTGTATTCAGGTAATGAGTTGAAACCAAATAAGATTATGTAGTGATTGTCAACTGGGGAGCCATGGCACACTGCTATGTCCCCAGAATTTTTAAATGCAACACCTGACTATTGAGTCAGGAGCACTAACCTCTTTTCCTTTAGATCATCAAATGAAAATATGACAACAGCCAACACAACAGCCATCCAATGTGAATGAATCAAAATTACACCTTTTTATTTTGGGTCAGGTCAGCAAAAGATACATTTTTTGGTGTCCTGGCAGAATTTCAGTAATTAGGGTGTGTGTGCCATGAGAGGAAAAAGGCTGAAAATAGCTGGATTAATTCAATGCAGTGAGGTGGAGCACTGACAGTGCTGAGGCACAGGCTGGCCGCCATTCCTCAGGGGAGCTGACAAGGGATATGAAAATTGGGAGGAAAATCTTTTGTAAAATTTAGAGATCTCCAAATTGGAGATTTCTGATGATTGAGACTATTTTGGTTAGGTTTACTTATTAATAAGTAGCTTTGTTGTTTCTCTTGAAATTTGTTTCAAAAGTCCTCCTGGATTTGGACTTTTTATACTTGCTGCTTATATTTGTTGTTTTGGGGTATTACTTTGTCTTCCTTTTCTGCCTTTGAAAATATTTTCTATATTTTAATAAGTCTTTTTATTCTCACTGGTTTGGAAACTCTGCATTTTATTTACTCTATAAGTACTCTTAAGTTCATAACATGCATACTTAACTATATATGTGTGTACATATATTTGTTTATATGTGTTTTTGACCAGTAATCTTAAAATAAAAACAGTAATACTGGCTTAAAAAATTTTTCTGGAAAACCCATCTAAATACTATTTACACAATACAGATTTCACTTACCCAGACTGGAATAGAGTTCTGTAGAGAAAATGATCCAGAACTGAAAAAGAGCTCTGATTGCGATGGTTGAGATAGGTTTGGTATGATTTGTGGAGTTTCTGCTTTAGTTGAGTTATCAAGGTATTTTTCATTCTGAACAGTTAATGAATACGGTAACTGAACTGAAGTTCCCATTTCTACCATTCTTACACATAATTGTGAGTCAATTTCTTGTACATGTGGATTTACATTTAAAACTCCACACGTTTTGTTTTTATCCTTTTCAGTGAGTCCTTGACTTTGTGACACTTTATCAACCCCTCTTTGTGATAACTCTTCAAAGCCCAGTCTTTCTTTTCTGCCTTCTAACTGGTCGTTCACTGAGCACTCACTGTAAGTAGAACTAAATGGAGTGATATGTTGTAAGTTTAATTGATGAAATTCAGTAGCCTCAGCAGATGAACTGAAGACTGAACTTTGCAAATTTTCTACAGAGAGCTGGAAATGAACATTTTTTCCTTTATTTTGTAGTATATCACTTGGTTCAGAGGAGAAGTTCTGATTTTCCATGTCTTGGGAAGAATCTCTTGCTTCAATGCCAAAAATACTTGGTAGATCAGCATGCTGGCTCCCTTCTTGTGAAGAAAATTCTGGCAGAAGCTGTTGAAAAGATTGTTCAGATCCTGCAATAAGAAGTTTAAGAAATCAGTTAATCATGTTATAAAACTTGGATACAGATATAGTCCCTAATATTTTGAGTAACTTGCAAAAGTTAATTCCTATAATTTTAGGAAAGTTGATGTATATAAACGAATAGAAAGTGAAAGGACAGTCACAGCAATTTTCAAATAACTACTGTTTACGTATATATTGTCTCCTAATATTATTTAAAAATAACAATGGCTATTAGACACTACATTTTCCGTTGTAATATAACCAAATACTGATTTTGTTAGAACAACCAAAGGACTTCGGTTAAAACGTACAAGTGTATCTTTTGTGTGTGTGTGTATTTATCTATATATAAAATTTATACAGAAAGTTTTAGAAGGATAAACTATTGACTCTAAGGGCCCAGGTAGGGAAGTTGAACAAGAAGAGGCAGCACGTTTTTATTTTATCAAGTTCATTACTGTAAAAATTGCAAAGTGAGCATAGATTATTACCTCTGTAATTTAAACAAATACACAAAGAAACAGAACTTGTAACACGGAGCAGCAGTGAGGACAGGAATGGAGACAAACCAGAAACTGCTAAGCACAATTTCTAAGAAAAATGAATATAGACAATCAAGAAAAAAGTATTGGGCTTTAACCTTTTCTAACTTAATTGTACATACCCTCAATAATTTTTTCTGTGTCAAAACCTTCAGCTGCAGTATGAGGCAAATTAGGGCCAGGTTGCTGATTCAGGCTTATGTTGAGAGGAGAAAGCAGGCTGGTCCTCCTCAGTGCTGTAAAAGAAACCGTGCCTTTGGAGGGTAGAGTTGCGCTGTGGCTTTCACATGAAGCATCTAAGCTCTGATGGAAAACAACGGGAAAATGCTGAAATGTTGATTATGTGTTACAGGTTGAGTTAATACGTTCCTTTGATATTACTCTTCTTTGATTGCCACTTTGCTATCACACTGATTGGCTTATTCAACCTACTTCTTCCATTTCAACTAATATGAAAAAGACTTTTTTAAAGAGATTATTTAGAAAACAAATTACAAATTAAACAGACTGTGTTTAGAACACAATGAGAGCATAAGCAGGAACTATGTATGACAACTGGGATACCAGGATGAAGAAGTCGGAAGACCCAGATTTGCATCTTAGATGCTTTACTGGATAAGACACTTTTTAAACATCGCAAAATTGTATTTACCTGAACTGCTTAAGGCTGAATTCCACTCAAAGTAAATCAGCAAACATAAAAATATTCTCAAGCTTTTTATGTGTCATACTCAATAGCTGGAAATAAGGCTGATAGTACAAAATTGTAATGCAGCTATTTTCAATCTTGGTTCCATGTTAGCATCACATGGGGAGCTTTAAAAAAAACTCTGATATCTGAGCACTCCTAGAGATTCTCATTTAATATGGGTCTAGGGTGCAGTCGGGGCACTGGAATTTGTAAAAGCTTTCCACGTGATTCTACTTGGCAACCAAGATTAACCATTATAACAGAAGAAAACTGGACAAACTGTTCTTGGAAATTCAGTGAACTGAAGCATCTACTTTAACATACCTGGTAAAAGTCTCTGCTCTCTTGAGAAATCCCAGAGGACAATGACAACAAATCAAAATCTGGCTGTGGTTCTAAGGGTTTAAACAGCTGATGATGCAAGTTTGGAAAAATGTATTCCAATTCTGGAAAGTCAAGGTCAACTGTTGGAATTTTGAGAAACAAGATGTATTTTAAAAATAAAGCCTAGAAAAACAGTGCTAAAAACATAGTCATAAAAGCTTATTTTTAGGTAAATCCTATTTAACAAAATTCCTTCCATTTTTTTTCATTACCAGCTAATGTTTTCAAATTAGGTCCTATCACTACTTATAGTGTACCAAAAAATGGGGATACCCTCAAACCCTTTGACGAATGTCTCCATTTCTACTAAGCCCGAAGTTTTATGAAGTTAATTTGGAGTAAGTGGCCACTGTGATCACTGCTTTGCTGTGAGCTTTGTTATTCTCATTAGCTAAGGCTCATGTCAGAGTAACGATTAAAAAAAGAAAACCCAAGTGTTACTATGGCCCAGACATTGTACTTTATGTACATTATCTCATCTAACCCCCAGGATCCCTGTTTTATGGAAGATCAAAGAGAATCTTGCCCATGGTCTCACAGCTAGTAAACTGGTCAAACTAGGAGTCAAACCCACATCTGTCTGTTTTCTGAGTTCTTGCTCTCAGTAGTGGTGCTGCCCTCATGATGCTGTAGCTTACTCTGCAACTGTAAAGGACTATCTACTGAACTCTTCTCCGTGTCTTCTGTGAGTCTATCTGGCTCCAAGGGCCGCCCCCACTGAAGGCCCTCAGTGTGTTCCATGGTGTAACTGCGGTAGCAGACCATAAAGACATGGAGCTCAAACAATCACTACTTCAAACTAAAAGGGATGAAAAGTAAAAACTTACAGTTTATATGAAAGTATTTGTTCAAAATAGTTTTACCCTGCAAGTCTGTTTTTTCAGTCATCAAGCTTGCTTCATTTATGTTCTTGTCTATCATGCACTGAATGTGTGCTTGGCCAGATGTAAATTTTTCCGCTGTAGGCAACAGAGGTTTATGAACATCCCAAGAGTCCTGTCTTGGGTAAATAACTTGTGATGGAGGAAATGTAGATGTTAAAATAATTGTTTCTTGTTCTTTGCCAGTGGTAGGTACTTGTTCCCCATGGTCCACATGCTCTGGAAATGACTCTGTAAGTGGAGATTAATGAAAATATTTCATGGCTGGGTCCTTCCTTAGGGACAAATTTTGCTGAGAGGCATAGCAACATATATGCATAAGGGATCAGTGCAACCAAGAAATTTGCTTGGATAGCTTCCCACTGAATGGGAAATGGGACATTAGTGGACACTTCTCAGAGTACTGTCAGAGATCCATAGCACATCAAGGATCTGCAAATTTGTGATTTCCAATCATGTTTAGAATATCATACTGTCCAATATTCTATCAGGCAGGAAAACTTTATTTTTGTGATTTAAAGAAACAATCCCTCTCAGCACAATGTGAAAAGCAATGTTTGTTCTCACCCCTGTATTGCAACTAAACCGGCGCTGGTCTTTCCACTTATTTACAGATATTCTGACATTATTACCTGGGTCTGTAAAGCTCAAATCTGTGTTTTCATTACTTAAGCTCCCAGTAGAAACAGTTACTGAAGATAATGGCTCCAGATAAATCTCTTGTGTTTCAGCCTAAAAAGTAAGGGAAACATTAGAGCACAATATAGGAAAAATATCTAGAAAGAAAAACTATCGCCAATATAAGCACTTATCAATTCTGAGCTCAGATCAAGTGTAGAAACCTTCATAATTATATAGGTCAGTAGTAAAACCTTTTCATCATTGCTCAGAAGTGATCAGCCTTTCATACACACACATCCCCCGCCCCCTGAATCTCATTCAGCAAGTCCTCAGTCATCCACTGTCACCTTCTCTCTCTCTCTTTCACACACACACACACACACACACACACACACACACACACACACCACTGTTTTAAACCACTTTATACTTTTGCTTCTCAGAACTATAGAGATCATGCATCAGGGAGACTGGAAGGTCTTCTGATGCTCAGATTTGGCTATTTTCATCACTGATCCACTTTACTAAGAGCAGATCTCAGAAAACACAGACTTTAGTATTTCATAACTTCTGTGAACTAAACAAAAGATAACATAGAGCCAAGCAGCTCTAACAGTGTGGTGCCCACTAAGACATTACTAACCTTATTATCTGGCTTCACAGCTGGATTCACATATGTATGTTCTTTCTCCACAGCATAACTTAATACTGCATGATTCTCAACCTCTGCCTCCGTGACCTCAACTAAAATGGGGAGGGGAAGATTTGGATTATGACAAATAAAATTCTTAGCAGCAGAGGGCATCATTTCCTGCTTTCCTACATTTTCTTTCATATTTTGCTTCATAGTGTAGCTTCATTTTAGATCAAAAAACCAAACAACCAAAGAAAACCCCATTTATTTTATTATTCAAACATTCACTAGTCAGCACATTTTTTCCCTGGAAAACTGTAGTTGTCATTGTTATTCTATGAATAAAACTCTTGAAAAAAGCCAATGTGATGAGGAATACTTTTGTCATCAAGTGAAGAAGCAAGAAAATTTGATCATAAGTACAGCATGATTTCAAAGGTGAGAAAAACTTATACAAAAAAAGACAAGAAAGGAAAACATCATAGTGCAACCAGTGATTGCTTACGAATGGTGGGACAAGGCAGAATTTCACATCTTTCAAACTTTCAGTACTTAGTATAATCATACTGAGCATGAATTGCTTTTATTATGAATTATCATATTTCAATATATTTAACATACTAAAATACATGTAAAATTATACTTTCTGTCTCACTCTTAATAATTCAGGTATTTTGGGCTAATTTTTCTCTCACTCTCAACAGCCAACATTTGTGAGGAAGCTGGCCAAGGCATACGGTTGTTCGTAGCTCTGAAACAGATTAAAATTAAAACTGTTCCACCAAATATAAACTAAAACTTTCTGTGTCATTATCACTGTGATATTATTAAAAGAGATCATGCACATTAAAAGTACGTTTCTTGCTGTGACCTGTGTGGCTCAGTGGGTTGGGAATCGTCCCGCATAACCTAATGGTCCTCCATTCAATTCCTAACCAGGGCACAAGCATGGGTTGTGGGTTCGGTCCCGGGTTGGGGGTGTGAGAGAGGCAGCCGATCAATGTTTCTCTCACACATTGATGTTTCTCTCCTCCTTTCTCCTTCCCTTCCCCTCTATCTAAAAATAAATAAAATCTTTTTTTAAAAAAGTATGTTTCTTAAATGTTTGTGTAGAAATGTTTTCTAAAAGGTGACCCAGATACACACACGTTTATGTGTAGATATATTATTTGTAAAATAATATCTATATTATGGATAATGAAGTTGAGAAATGAAGCTAGTATCAATAGCATTGATATATACAATTTAATTTTAAATACAATTTCTAGTCTAGTTCTTTAAAAATATATTACTGTGATATAACTGATTGAACCATTAAACTGTTATTTGGTTGCTTCTACGCACACTAGAGTTTTAAGCAAAGGAAATAAGAGATGATGAATTTATAGTAAGTTTTTATTTTGTCATTTCAAAAGCTAGTTGGGGGATTAGAAGTTAATCTGGGGTTTTTACATTCATACCTCACAATTATATACTGTTTTTTATAACATAACAAGAAGATTGATTCAAATCCTCCAGAGGAGAGATGAGTAAACAAGACTAGCATTTTGAGTAGGTGTAAGAAGTAAAAAGTAAAAAATGGAGAAAGGATCAAGGTCAGTTATACAGACACTAAAGAATTCAATGAACAGGTTGCTGAAAGCAGCTGGAAGAGAAATAACTGTCATTGGTTTGGAAGTGGTTCACCAGGAGCAGGGACCCATTGGAAGGTTCCTAAAAAGGGGAAGTAACATGTCAGCAATGCCTTAAACCAGGGGTGTCCACTCTCTTGGCATCTCTGGGCCACACTGGAAGAAGAAGAGTTGTCTTGGGCCACATATGAAGTACACAAACACTAATGAAAACTAATGAGCAAAAAAAAGGTCTGTGCGTAATTTTTGTGGTATCTGCCACCACAGATAAGCAAAAAAGTCCTCACATCATAACCCTAATTATGCAGTGGCCCTTTTGATAATCTTTCAAAATCATCAAGCAGGTCCCAAGTTTGTGATCACTAATATAGAAAATGTACACATCTAAGTAATAAAACTAAATAATGTTTTAAGTAAATTTATGATTCTGTTTTGAGCCACATTCAAAGCCATCCTGGGCTGCATGCAGCTGCAGGCTGTGGGTTGGACACCCCTGCCTTAAGCAATTATCTTCCCATGCTATGAGGAAGGCAACATTTCTTGTTTTCTTTCAGAAGCAAACCAGTATTTCCTGACTTCCTGCAAAAGCAAGGGCTACAGAGATTGAAGTCAGTGATACCACCTAAAAAGCTATTAAGAAAGAAAGGTGAGATGAAGAGGACCTGAATAAAGTGGTAGGGGGGATGAAGAAATAACAAAACCAATACCCTCCCTTCTAAGATAGAAACAACACAAACCTGGAGATGATTATGAGAAGAAAAGCAGCTTGAGAGCCAGGAGATGACCTGGCTATATCTAGACTCTGGTGTTCTTCTGCTAGACATTAACTTCACAGAACACTGGTACCAGAAAAGGACATTCTGTGACCATGATGGATCAGGACAAAAATCAGACCACCTACACTCACCTCTGAATATTAACAACATCATGAATATAATCCAGACCACAAAATGATCGGTGTGGCTCACTAGGTAGGGCATTGTCCTACAAAGCAAAATGTCACCAGTTCAATTCCTGGTCAGGGTACATGCCTGGGTTGCAGGTTTGATCCCTGGTTGGGGCGAGTGCTGGAAGCAATCGACTGATGTTTCTCTCCCTCCTTCCCTTCCCCTATCTGTAAAAATAAATAAAATCCTTAAAAAAAAAAAAAAGACCAACCATCTCCTTATCCTGGCAAATATGGGTGACTGCCAATGCTTTACCAGTTACAGCTTTAATTAGCCTCACTCCATTATTCCTACCCCCTAAGTAAAAATTTTAGGTACCCCCAAAAAGAATAACCCTGTTCCCCGATAACATCCAATATTAATAAACAAAGCCCCATTTCCTTGAATTCTCCTCAAAATCATCTAATAGAAGCCCAAATCTTACAGTAAGTCCTTTTTTATCTTACTGATTTTAGAAAGAGAGATAAAGAAACATCAATTTGTTGTTCTACTTACTTATGCATTCATTCATTGATTTTTTTTTAAAGATTTTATTTATTTATTTCTAGAGAGGGAAGGGAGGGGGAGAGAGAGAGAAATATCAACGTGCGGTTGCTGGGGCCATGGCCTGCAACCCAGGCATGTGCCCTGACTGGGAATCAAACCTGCGATGCTTTGGTTCGCAGCCTGCGCTCAATCCACTGAGCTACTCCAGCCAGGGCTCATTCATTGATTCTTATTTGTGCCCTTACTAGGGATCGAACCCCCAACCTTGGTGTATTGGGAGGATACTCTAACAACTGAGCTACACAGCCAGAGCCCAGAGAGTTCTTTCTAATACCCTCTTATTGAGAATCCTCATTGTTCCCCCTTGGTGGCCTTCTACCTGACTGCAACAAGTCAAAACCCCCAGCTTTGTTCAGCTACAGGTGTGTTCCTGGTAATCTTTGGCTAGAGGGCATCAACAGGTAGAATAAAAAGGAAATAGAAGTATTCTTCAGCTAAATCTAAAATAATGATGTAACAATTTTACTTTGTGTATCAAAATTTATCATTCACTGGAAATTATATTCTTTGTAGTTACTTCAATCTTCAATTAAAAAGAAAAGCTGCTGAAGTCAATTTTTCTACAAATCCTCAAAGAGAATAGGTCTCTCATCTCTGAGTCTATTAAATTGTAGGTGTAACTAAGATAATCACTCAAGTATATGTGGCAGCTAAAATAAAAAGAAATCTGGTTAGGAAAGGTAACTACATCAAAGGTGCTTTAGAACTCATAAGGTAGTACTAGAACTGTGCTTTGTATGGTTAGTAAGCATATTACACGTGAAAACAGCTTGTTACCTACATCCATACATTCAAAAGTGAGAAAATTAACACTGGCTGTCTTTGGGTGGCAGAATTAAAAAATTTAACATTTTTTTTCTTATAATCCTCTTTATTTTCCAAATATTTAAAAGTAAACAAAGTAGCTAATTTAGAAGGCCACATATAGAAATTTTTAAAGATAATATTTAATAGTATTTAATTAAATGTGAATTATTTGGAACAGGCTTAAACACAAAATTTGTATAGGTTGCTAACTATAAATCTCATATGTTCAAATACTTCCTACTAGCATTTATTTAGTAAAACAATTGAAAAGCAAAATTAATTATTCTCTTTTAAAAAAACACTATTTATTTTTAGAGGGAGGGGAAGAGAAGGAGAGAAACATTAACGCGTGGTTGCCTCTCATGCACTCCCTACTAGGACCTGGCCCACAACCCAGGCGTGTGCCCTGACTGGGAATGGAACCGACCACCCTTTGGTTTGCAGGCCAGAGCTCAATCTACTGAGCCACATCTGCCAGGGCCCAAAATTAATTATTCTTTAAAAAAACTTTACTTCCCTTATCCAACCTCTTCTCCACAGAATACATGCTTCTAATTTTAAAAAATATGTATGTACAGGTAAACATAGAAAATAGAAAGTACAACAGTCTCCAAAAATGTAAACCTGTATCAACACTTCAGTGATTATCATCCAGACAATTTTTTTTTGTTGTTTTAATTTTATTTATTTAGAGAGAGGGGAAGGGACCTGGCCCACAAACCAGGCATGTACCCTGACTGGGAGTCAGCAGGCCAGGGCACTCAATCCACTAAGCCACACCAGCCAGGGCCAGACAGACAGTTTTCAATGTATGAACACAGATCTCCTCCCTCCCACCATCACTTGACAGTGCAGAGAACAGCATAATATGTGTACACCATAATGATTCTATTCCCAACAGTCACTGAAGTTATTTACCATTTTTCATCACAAACAACACTACAGAAAATATCTCTTGTCCAATTACCCATGTACACAGCAATTCCATTTTCCATTTCTTTCTCTCTCACCTGCTTCATGACAGTCATCACCACAGATATTCTCCTGGGCGATTGGGTAAGGATGAGCAAATGGATCACGGTCCAGTGGGGCCCAAGGGAAACTCTGTTCTCGACTTATAGAGACCCTCAGGGGGTCCCTGTCTTGATAAAAATCTGGTTTACCTGGTAGGGAAAAAAGTCCTGACACATCAGACTTCCACTTAAATTTCTAGCTCTAGCCAAAACTAAAATGGCAGTTTAGAATTTGGGGCAAAAATCTAAACTCTTAAAAACTTAATCTATGTAGCAAGAAAATAATAACTACTACTTTTTCACACAGGCCTTTAAATTATTTCACTTCAATTTTACTGAGTTTGTAATGATACACCTACTTAATACCAGATAATGCTTCAGCACTCAATCCGAGGAAAATGCCTGGAGACTTACTAACCATTAATAGTACTGTAAGATATAATACACATTCATAATGTAAAGTTCAAAAAAAGCTACAGCTAATCTGTGGCATAGGAAATCAAGACAGAGGCTTATGCTGGGGAGAACTGAGCAGACAGTAATTGAGAGGTACAAAGGAAGGGTTTATGGAGTGCTCTAAGATTCCAGTTCCTGACCACAGTGGTGTTTACATGAGGTTGATGACTACAGTGATAATCACTGAAGTAAATGCCTAGGATTTAAGCACTTCTCTGAATGTTATACTTTGATACAAAAATTTAAACAAGCAAACAAAGGAGTGAGGAATTACAGGTATTGTAAAAGGAAGGTGTGTGTCAGGGGACCAAAAACAGAGCAAATGCTTAAAACTGTCTACTTGGAACAGATCCTTCCCATTTAGGGACATCCCTGTCCCTCAACATCACCCCCAGAGGAGACTGCAGGTTTATCCTCTGGTGCAACTGAATCCCATACATTCTGACTGATTCAGGAGGATCAGACACTGAAAGGTGCAAGGATGAATGGAGGGAACAGAATGTAATTAAAAAAAAAAAAAAAAAATCTGGGTATTAAAAGGTCTGCATCCTCAACACAGATCCCTCATGGCTGGCTGCATAACAGCAGCAGCCATGCTTGTATCAGGCTTGGAGGATCTTTCTTTGAAGAAATTAAACTATAAACTGACTTAGGACAAAGAACTACAGATACTAATTTGAGGGTCCCCAGTGAAAAGCCATGTTTTCCAATGAAGTTCAGCAGTACACAAGGCCCCCAGTCTACAGAATTTCCAATTGGCCTTTCAGGATCCCAGTCCAATACGCAAGCTATTAGTGAATGTCTCTAAAATATGAGACAGAAATAACAAAGAAACAAAAGAACTCAGACAGAGAAAACACAGGAACCCAAACTAACAAAAAACTATAAATACACAAAGTAGGTAATATCTTGCATCTATGAAAACAGCAGTACACTAAGAAAAAGGGGGAAAAATTAGGAAAAAGCACAAGCATTTAGAAGCTGAAATTTGATAGTAATAATAAAAATTCATAAGAGAAATCAGAAGAAAAATGGAAGAAATTCTCCAAAAAAGTAAAGTCAAAAGAGAAAAAAAATGAACCGTAGAAAAGAAAACTGAAAGATCAAACCCTGGCTGGTGAAGCTCAATGGATTGAGTGCCAGCCTGTGAACCAAAGGGCTACAGGGTTGATTCCCAGTCAGGGCACACACCTAGGTTGTGGGCCAGGTCCCCAGAACAGGGTGAGTGAGAGGCAACTGCACATTGATGTTCTCTCCCTCATTCTCCCGCCCTTTCCCTCTAAGACTAAATAAATAAAATCCTAAAAAAAAAAAAAAAGAAAAATAGAAATGTGGGAAATCTTATGAAAAGGGCACTGCATAAGGTAAGACATTTGTTGATAGCTCATAAAATGTCTAAATATTTTTTTAAAAAATCAATTTAGATCAGTGCTTTTTGACATTACTTTTATAATCACCCACCTAAGGAATCTTTTTAGGCTTTTTAAAACATTGCCTCCTAACTCCATGAACTTCTCATAACTACACATATATTGTATATCTTTCTATGTACATCTGTGCTTTGGTATATATATAAAAAGAGTAAGACTTTTTCACTCCCCCAAGAACCAATTTCCCCCCCTTTTGGAAGCAATAATATGCTTGTTAAAAATACATAATATAGATCATCCAACTTTCTACTAAAAGATGTCCCACAAACAGAGAAAATAGTGTGGCCTCAGATGACATAAGAGGTACTTGATAGGACGATTGGTGTGGGAGGACAGACATTCAACAGAAACTTTAAGCAAATGAAAAAAAAAAGACAATTTACTCTAGGAAAAGTTTTACAAATAGGAAATATAATCAGAGTATACTGATCATATACTTTGAGCAGTGAAAAATATACATATCAGCATGATGATAGTTTAATTTCTGCTAAAATCCACTGCCAACCATAGAGGTAAATGCAAGCAGCAGCACCTAGAGGACTTGTAAACTGACTGCCTCTGGTTAACAGAATGAGGGGTAAGGGGTGGGTGGGTAGGGCAGGAAGAACTGCTGTTTCATATTATAGTGCTTTAGCACTACTTGCCTTTTTTTTTAAACCTATATTTCTTTTTTTTTAAGATTTTATTTATTTATTTTTAGAAAGGGAAGGGAGGGAGAAAGAAACATCAATGTGCAGTTGCTGGGGGCTGTGGCCTGCAACCTAGGTATGTACCCTGACTGGGAATCGAACCTGCGATGCTTTCACAGCCTGCGCTCAATCCACTGAGCTACGCCAGCCAGGGCTACTACTTGACTTTTTAAAACTCTTTGCCTATAGCATTTTGGTTATAAGTATTACCCAAAGTGGTGTGATAAAGGCTGTAAGGAAAGCTCCCAAGAGCACAAGAAAGATACTTGACAGGTCAGGAAAAGTCTACCAGACAAGCGGCACTTAAGCCAACCCTGAAGGGAGGAGCAAGATCATGAGAGGCCTGACAGGTGAAGCTAGGGACTTACAACTTAACTGGAACTTATTCCTCAATCAAAGGGAAACCACTAAGGAGTTTCAAACAGGGAGAAATAGCTCTATTTGAATTTCATAATTATTTTTTGATTTCAGACTTACCAAATAGTTTTCTTGATCAAATTCATCAAAGTAAATCCTTTTTTAAGAGAGAAATAAGCTTTGTCAATAGAAAGTACATGGAAGTATGATGTTGACATACTTTCATAGGAAAATGAATTAAAGCTGGACTGGAAGCAGGGAGACACTGAGAGATGTAGCAACCACTCCATAGAGAAATAATGGCCTGAACCAAAGGAGTGGTAGTGGGGATGGGAAGAAGTGGACAGATGTAAGAGCTGACCAAGCAGAACTGAGAAGAGCTGGTGATTTATTGGGTGTAAGAGGCAGTGTAAGAAGAGGGAAGTATCAAAACTTACATCTGGGTACTATTCACTGAAAAAAAGGGCTGAAGGATAAGGAAGTGGAGGTGAGGGAACAGTATAAAGCTTTCCCTTTCAGACATGAAGACATTAGGGAATCTGAAACATGACTTATTAAATTATAGGAATTGATGGTGGGAACTTCCCAATGTTTACTGTGAATTAGGGAAAGCATCAATCAATTCCTGAAGTTGTGGTTTGCCAAATAGAGCAAAATTGGAAAAAACTTCCAATGCCTAGTAATAAATAAAATCATTTCTCTGTAAGTTCCATAAAACATAGAAAGAAAGCAGAAAGGGGAATGATTCTTAAGAACTACTCTCAACCTCTACCTTCTTTAATTCTTTCAGCTAGAAACAAAGATACAGTATTTTATGAATGAAGACCAAAATAACTAATATTAACAACATACTTCCATGTACCTTTCTATTGACAAAGCTCATTTCTCTCTTACAAAAAATTGACTTTGATGAATTTGATCAAGAAAACTATTTGGTAAGTTTGAAATAAAAAAATAATTATGAAATTCAAACAGGGCTATTTACTAAGGATTGCAAAGAGGCGTTTTTCTGGGTAATTGGATCTAGGAAGAAGTACAGTAAAGAAACAGCTAATTGTCCTTAAAGCCAGGATCTTAAGCATAATATAAAAGATAAATGAAAAGAACAATGAAAAGTACTGAAGTAGAACAGCAACAAGGGGAAAGAGAAAAACTGAGTTATATCCCAAAGAAACAGGTTTAGAAGGCAGACATGAAAGGAAGCAGAGGGAAGCAAGAGTGTCAGAATGTGGGAATTTTTGTCTACAGTGAATTGGTTTCCCCCAGATACAAGAAAAACCCAGTTACCTATGCCACAATTCTTTAAGTCTAAATTTTATATACTGTTTATTGAAACTATTTTTTCTTTCCACACGTACTCACAGCTAGGCTTCTTCAATGACAAAAAATTAGTATCCTGAAAAAAATGTAGAAGACCAGCAAACTATAAAAAAAAACATTTTATCAAACCATATGTTTACCTAGTATAGAAGGTCTGCCACTTGCTGGTGATTCTACCTCTTGTATAGCACTGAGTTCATGCTGGTTCAAGTCTAATCCACATTTAACTTTTGCTACAGGTGGCTTTGAGGCTCTCCTGCCCAGCTCTTGGATTGGATGTTCACCTATCAAGTCAATGATCAAGTTAGGCAGATAACATGTTACAAACTTCTCTTTAGCCAGCAAGTTACAGGAAAGAAAGCAAGGAATACTCAGTGGAATGATTACAATAAAATCCAATGATCTTACCACTCTGCTTGGTACTACTACCTTCTGAAAGCAGCTGATTATCAGCAGAGCTGCTGCTGTCTGCAGGACTAATGTTCTCATAATCGTCTCTTGCTTGGTCTTGAAGATGAGGAAGCCACTGTCTGAGCATCTGGGGTTTTAAATCATTTTCAAGAGTGGGCTTACTCATCTGAAACAGTGCACAGATGAGAGTGGGGATGACACAGGATAAGAGATTATGTGAAGTGTTCATTAAATTTCTATCTAGCTCTTAAATTAGAATCTAAACCAAATAAATAGTTTTATCAATCATACTGTTACAACTTTATGAATAGATACAATATGAGAAACATATATTGAAAGAGTGATATATTTCCACTGAAAAGTATAACCATCCACAGCCTTCAACCTAAAAACTTAACCTCCACTGTACACTTCAATAAGGGACGTTACTTCAGTATATGTCTCTTTCCCCACTACCTGAGTATGCTTTCTTTTCTCACTACTTTTCCTTCAAATGACCAGTAATCCCTAGAACTCAAGTTCTCATGAACTCAACTCAAGCTTCTTCAGAACATCAAAGGTCTTACAGGCTAAATCATAAATTCAGGAAATAGCCTTCTGAAGTAAAATGGACACAGGCATACTTAGAATATATATTTATCTCCCATAAAGAGAACTATGAATGTCTGAGTGGCTATGCCAGTCTTCTCAATAATTCAGTGACAAGCAGCAGGTCCAGCTGTCCATCACCCTAAAATCATGCCAATTTTACAACAGGTGTTAATTTTGTCACATATGAAAAAAGAGGGTACTGATTTTCATTTACACACAAATGTTAACCAAGTGCTATACGAAAGTGTAACTATGGAAAAGTGCTATAGGAAGCACAAGGTCTGCTATTTGTGTAAGAGAAATTCTGCTGATTATTTTACAACTTAATCTTACGGTAAGCTAAAAATCCTTTGTAACAAAACTTCCAATGACAATCTACATTTTTTAAGAGAGTTTGCATTTGGTTGTATCAAACTACTGGCTAAAACTAGTTGGGCTTCGAATAACTATTAACCTCATAAACACCACAGAAGGTCATATTTATGTATTTTCATATTGTTTGAGGTAGAAAATGAAAGCAGTTAAGGTCAAACTGCTTATTCTCAATAACTATGAACTTGTAACATTTAGACCTAAAATGAAAACATTTAGCTTGTCTGAGTCAGATTAACTCCATTGTTTAATTCTTAGACATTCAAGTTTACTACACACCTGACCATCTTGAAAGAAATCCTTCAAGGTCTCTTGATGTTTCAGCATCTGTTGCTGCAGTGCTGTTTGTCTCTGTACTAGCAGCTCTTCTTGCGCTTTTTGCCTATAATGCAGAACTTCTTTTTGTAGATCTATCTGCTTCTGAAGTTCCAAGTTACCTTGCTGAGCTAAGATGGGCTGTGAAAAACTCAAAAGTCTATCTTGAAATTTGGGGATCATAGAATCGCTTGAAGAAACTGCATGTTCATTCTTGGATGACTCCAACTCACATATGTCTTTATTTTTAACTTCAGCAAAAGGTAGTGGAATAAATGAATGCTCTCTTTCCTTGGGTAGAAACAAAGAGGTAGTAGTGTGCTCAGAAGACTCACTTTCAATCAACTTACTTTTTTGGTTTAAAAGCAGGTCTTCCTGGGCCTTTTCATCAGAGCACACCTCTTCCCTTTGCAAGTCCAACTGTGCTGTCAAGTGATCTTGCTGAGGCAAAATAGGCTGTGATAAATTCAAAAGCTGATCCTGTGACCTGGGGATCTCAGGATGACTTGAGGGAGCAGTATAGTTACTTCTGGTTGCAAAAGAGTTTTGGAGTCTTTCAGAGTCAACAGGCAGTGCTACCTGGGATAAAGATGAAAAGGCACTAACCTGCTCAGATGATACCCTTTCCTCCAATTTATTTTGTCTTTGCAAAAGCAACTCTTCTTGGACTTCCTGTCTAAACTGAATGGTTTTCCTCTGTATATCTAACTGCTGCTGAAGTACCATCAAATCACGATGGTGAGGTTGAATAAGATGCTCAGAAGATATCTTTTCCTCAAATTTATTTTGTTTAGGTAACATAACCTGTTGAGGTAAACCAGGCTGTGAATCACCCAAAAGGCTAACTGGCAATCTTGGTATCTCAGAATGATGTGAGGAAGCTATATTGTCACTCTTAGTTGGGCAAGATTCTTGGGTTCTCTCAGATTCAGTAAGAGGTAACGAAGCAAATGAATGTTGTATGCTTAGGGGTAAGAAGGGAGAGGTGCCAACCTGGCCAAGAGATATTCCTTCCTTCCACTCTTTCTGTTTATGTAACTCTTTCTGGGCTTCTTGTCTAGATTGAATGATGGCTTCCCTTTGTGTAGCTAACCGTTCTTCAAGTGCCTTCAAATTATCTTGTTGAGGCTGGATAAGTTGTGATAACCTCAAAAGCCTATCCTGCAAATGTGGGATCTGAATATGGTGCAAAGGAATTTTGCCATCACTCTCTGTTGAAAGAGGTTCCTGAGTTGTACTAGATTCAGAAGGTAATGAAGTAAATGAAAGCTGTCTCAAATGGGGTACGAATGAAGAGGAACCAGTTTGTTCAGAGAATGTATTTCCTTGGGTTTTCTGGCTACAACGAAGGGCCTCCTCTGTGTCTAGCCATTCTTGGTGGGCCTCTAAATTATCTTGTGAAAATCTCAGAAACCTTTCCTGAGATCTTGAGATCTTAGAATGGCTCAAGGGCCCTGCACTGTCACTTGCCATAAATTCCTGGTATCTTTCAGATTCACCTACCTGGGACAAGGATAAAAAGGGGCCAGTCTGGTCAGAAGAAATTCCTTTTTCTAATTCATTTTGTTTGTGTACATATTCCTGAGCTTCCTGTTTAGCACCACTTCTTATCCTCTGCATGTGTGGTTGTTCTTGGGGCGCTGTCAAATTTTCTTGCTGTGGCAGGCTATGCTGTGGAAAATGGAGAGACTCATCCTGAAATGCTGGGATTACCGAGTGACTCAAGGGAATTGTATTCTCCTTGCACAAATAAAGGTCCTGAATTCTCCTAGGCTCCATTTTAGCGGAAGCCTGCAGAGCAACTGAATGTTGAGCAACCATTGTTGGGAATGAAGAACTCATCTGTTCCGACTTACTATCCCCCAAATCCTTTTGTCTATGTAAAAGGAGTCCCACCTGGGCTTCGTGCCTAGCCTGAAGAGCATCCCTCTGTGCAGTCAGCTGCTCCTGGAGCAACTTCAAACTGTCATGCAAAGGTAGGAACTGCTGGAGGAAACTCAAAGAGCCATCCTGAGATTTGGGGACTTCAGACTGGTTTGAGAGAAATCCTTCCTCACTCTTAGATGAATACTGCTCCTGGATTTTTCCAGATTGAGTACTAGCAGGAAGTAATGAAGTGAATGTATGCTGAGCTACCTGAGAAGGTGGCTCGGTCTGTTCAGACCACAGTCTTCTATCCAGCTTATCCTGTTGATGTACACATAAAACTTCCTGGGCTTCCCGCCTGGCCTGAAGGCTGTCCCTCTGGGAATTTAACTGCTCCTGAAGAAGTTTAAAATTATCTTGCTGTGATAAGATAGGCTGTGAAAAACTCAAAAGCCTATTCTGAAGTTGTGGAACCCTGGGGTGGCCTGAAGAAACTGTACTATCATTCTTGGTTGGAGAAGATTCCTGGATTCTCCCTGAGTCAGCTTTGGCAGAAGGCAGTGGAGCAGAGGAATCCACAGGTACCAATGGAAGGAACAGAGAGATGCCAATTTGCCTTTCTAATTCTTTCTGTTTGCCCAAAAGCAATTGTTCCTGAGCTTCCTGTCTGGACCGAAGAATTTCCTTCTGTAGGTCCAACTGCTCTTGGAGAGCCTTCAAATTACCTTGCTGGGCTATGATGTTTTCTGAGGATGGCAAAGACTTATCCTTCATTTGGCTGATTACAGAACGGCTTATAGAAACTGTACTTTTGCTCAAGGTTGGAAAGGGTTCTTTGATTTTTCCAGGTTCAGCTTCAGCAGGTAGAGAACTAAATGAATGCTCAGCTAGTAGTGGTAGGAATGAAGAAGGCTCAGTTGGCTCAGAAAATGTACTTTCATTGTTTTCTGAGAACATTTGCTGGGAGTCTAAAGTTTCAGCTACTTCACTAGCATGCTGCAATATTAGTGGCTTATCATGTGATAAAGCCCTTGAAAGTACATGAGAATCTTTAGGGACCGATATATAGTCTCTCTGTTGTGTTTCAGTCTGTGAAAATAGCTTTGGCTGTTCTTGTGACTCCAAACATTTCTTGGCTAAAACATCTGTTTCTGTTGTTTCCACCTGTCTTTGTGGGAAGTGATTTTGTCTTGGAACCTGAAAATAATCTTGTTCTAATCTGGGGATCTGTATGGGTTGTATAGGTTGATATTTGTTAGGACTCAGCTTGGGTCTCTGACCTTGATCCCAATGTTCTGTTATAATAGTCGGTCTTTCAGATTTCTGTGGTGGGGCTGATGTCACGGGAGCAGACATTAATGATGCAGCTGTCATGGATGGGTACTTTCCTTTTAACATAGTCTGATATTCGAGCAATTGTTTCCTGGCAGTTTCAATGGACTGTTTATGAAACCTACCGAAAACAAAACAAAACAAAACAAAAATTATTCTTTTTCTTAATTAAAAAAAAAACGCTCCATATTCTCAGTTGTCTAGACATTAAATTCAACAGCAATCTAGGATTAGCCAGGATCACAGTGGAAAAGAAACAATGTTCCCACTGCACTTAGAGAAATCTATGTGCATAACTCTAAGGGAACCGCGATTAAATCTTCATATAAATAGTAAATCCTGAAGATGTAGCCATATCCTATAACATATGAGTTGTACCCTGGCTAATACCTGTTTTGCTGTAAAAGCTGACGTTGATAGTTACGAATCATCCGCCTATGCCTTTCTTCATCAATACTTATGGTGCACAATGCTGGAGCAGTGCCAACCTAATAAAAGACAAAACTATTAATTAAAAGGCAAATCTAGAAACAAGTACTAAAGTATTTAATATGAACTAAAGTTCTAAAATTAACTTCCATATAGCTTTATTCTTTTTTATAAAAAAGACTGCACTTCCATTATTAAAATGACATCAAAAGCAAAAAAATTAAAAAATTTTTAAAAAAAATGACAGCATCCACCATTTTCTTTTAGTGCCAACCAAGTCCAAGAGCTCAACATACCCAGTATATACAACTTACGATCATATACACTGGTACCCTCTAGAGGCTGAAAGATGAAAGCCATTAGGTCTGTATAAACTTGTATATGTATATATTAATTAGAAGAAAAAATTACCAAATAAGACTTAGAAATGCATTTTACTTTTCTGAATGCTAAATTGCTTATATTTTTTTATCTCCCAGTGATCTATGTGGGGATGAGATTTCCCAACATCCTACCCCAGTCTGTTGAGTTTTTCTTCTTTCTTCTTCTTCTAGCTGAGCCCTGAAGCAATCAGCTTCTAATCTTAACTTCTGTTGTTCAATTTGTTCAAGTAATTCCAACTGCTTCTGCTTCTGCACTTCTATTTCCATTATCTAAGTAACAAAAAAACTACTGATCTATTAATAACAAACTCACACAAAAGAAAAGTTTATAGTATGTATTTCACTGAAGAAGAAACAGGAATTACCATCAATAGTACCAATTATCCTAGAAGATTATGTTACTGCTGTTATCAGAGGGGGAAAGGGAGTGAGAGATGGGGAAAGGAGGAAAAAGAGAAAAAGGGAAAGAATTTAAAAAGAGGCAGAAAGAGAAGAAAAAATAAATTCATTACTATTTCTATTTTCTGGGAGCACAGGGAAACCCTGATCATCGCTGAAGACTCACCTCCAGATAAGAAGCAAACAATGCTTGGCCAAATTCTGTGTTCATTTCTTTAATTTTGCAATGTGCTCAGTAAGAAATGACAAAGAAATTAAATGTCAAGGCCTCCCCAAACACTTCGATTTTCTAGGTATACCCATAAAGGGGTACAGTTATCTACAAGCCAAACAGTAGTACAATGAGAAAATTCTGTATCTTTTCTGTCAGGCATGAAACAGTCTGGTGAGACAACAGATGGTGAGACAATGGCACAGGGATGACACCTAAACCCTAATATTACACCAACACACACACAGATCCAAGTAAAAAGAACACATGTCAGAGTGGCTAAGTTTCATGAAGACAGGGACTGGACTAGACTGGTTGCCTGCTAAATCCAGCACCTAGTAAAGTCCCTGATACATATGTAATACATAATAAATACTTGCTAAGTAGAAAATGAATGTATGTGCAGTTTATTAAGAACATTTTATGAGAAGTAATAAAAAATAATCTAGTTTTCCAAATAAAAAAATATCTCATTCTGAAACTTTACCTATTGCTAATCAGACACTAGTTAATGTCAATAATTCATCAGGCCATAGTTGCATCCCTATCTTCATCTTCCTGACTCTCTTCTCTACTTACTCATCTTCTCTGCACTCAGAAGAGCCACTGAATTTCAGTTTACAGTTCTGTAGTACCTCTAGAACAGCATTATCAATACAAAAGTCACTAGCTATCTGTGACTATGTAAATTAATTCAAGTAAAACCAAATTTAAAATTTAGTTCCTCAATTACACCAGTCATATTTCAAGTACTGAAATATTTAATAGTCCATGTAGCTAGACACAGACATGAAACATTTATATTACCAGAGAAAGTTCTATTGGACAATACTGCTTTAGCATATTGATTAGAAAATATTTATCTGAGAAGAAATACTTGCTAATAGAATTTGCACTCCTCAGCTGTATTTTCATAAAAACTATAACTATAAACTGACTGGCTTAGTAATAATCAGCTTCTCCCAAAGTAATTTGTATCAAAAAAATCTTTTACGATAGTATATGGGACCGAAAAATTATAGTTAAGATGGTTGAATTTAAATTTTTCTTCTGAAATACTATTTTTCAAAAAACACTTTTGAGATTACAAACTTCAGTTGAGTGTCCAATATAATGACAGGGACTAATTTATTTAACAAATATTTACCGTGCACTTACTATGCATAAGGCATTGTATCAGAAACTATGTAGAATAAATTGCATTTTTTAAAGAAAACCTCCAACTTTAAAAAAGCCGATAAATTTTATAGGGAAGACAAGATATATACAAAATATAAAATACAAAACAGGGTTAAATGAATAGAACAAGCAAAGATGAAGTATGTTTTATCAGCTCAATGTGTAAGTCAAGGTAGAACAAATGGTAACAAATGTAGTCAGACATTAAGACAGACTTCACTGGTCAAGAAAATGATAGTACCTAGGGAAAGAAGAAAAACCTTTAAAAATAAAAATTTGAAATTACCTGTTTCTGTCTTGATGCCATTCTAATCCTAGCTGCTTCTTCTTGGGGATGGAGTAGCACTGAACTCTGAGCTACTGCTGTGGTAGGTTCAATCTCATTTATTTCTAAGAGGATCCCCAAAACAAAAATTAGTTTTAACAATTTAGAATTTTGACACCACTGTAATGCTCTTTATTCATTCATTATATGTAACTTTATTAAGAAAAGATTTGAAAAGCCAAGCAAGTTTAATCTGAGGGTGTAAATAAAAACAAATACCTTGTTCCTTTTTAGAGTCTGCATCACATAAAATTGGTTGATCTTCACTAGTAAGTGGGCCAGAGTCAACTGTTAACATATCACTTTCAACAACTGTAATAGACATTTTATTATGAACATATTATCACTGTTAAACTGAAATCTGAACAAAAGTAACAAAAATCTGTATTCAGATTAACAATTTAATTTCGGTCCACCTGAATGTCTTATTTAAGATCCAGTCACCATGAAACTTGAGCCTAATATAACGAGACAGATGGAAGACTAAAATTGTAAACAAAAACGAAAACATAACACAGAACCATTAAGAAGGCATGCTGACACTTCAAACACAATGGAAAAGCATAAAAGGAGATTAAGCAAAGCACCATAGTTTAAAGAAAAGCTAAAGAAATTTAAATGTATCTTTGACATATTTAGTTATTACAATTATTACTTATGAAACCAAAGCAGAGAAGACAGTTAAACAATCATATCAGGGTAGTCAGAAACTCTGCATCCAGCATTCATTCAGCAACTCCTTATGTGCTGCATGCTCGGGACACTGGTAAATAAGAAATGGCCTCAAGGAGGTTTTACAGGATGAGTGAGGACAGAAACATATAATTATCCTAGCAAAACATGTAAAATCACAAACTATGGTTAAGTACTATATAAAAGATATAAAGCATTTTGCAATAGAGAATTACAGGGGAATCTGAATTAGACTAGGGCTCAGATGAGATTTCTCTTAGGAAAGAACACTTAAGCAGACACCTAAAAGAGAACAAAGAATCAGCCACACAAGCAGGTATGAACACCCTGTGAGGATAAAAACAATTTGGCTCATTCAAGGAACTGAAAAAGGATCAACATATATGGGATATAATTAAATAAGAGGGAAAATGAAGATGAGGCTAGAGAAAGCCTACTCATACAAGGCCTTTTCAAAAATAACCTGGTTGTGAATTGAAGATGAAAGAGCCCCGTTTTAGTGCAACTTTGATGGCCTCTCCTTTTTACTGCCTTTGCTCTCTGCCCTTCTCCACCCATTTTCTAAATGCCGGAGTCCCTCAGATGGTCTTATAAGCCCTCTTCTCACTGAATTCTTTCCTATAAGAGTTCTTCCATGCCCATGGCTTTAATTATCATACGTGTGTCTGATTTCCAAACTTACCTCTCTTGCTTTAGGCTACTCAATTAACTAACTAAATGTTAACTGATCACCTTTTCCATATAAGGCACTAGTCTAGGCTCTGGGATATAGCAATGAACAAAATCAAGTTCCTAGCTTCATGGAGGTATATTGTGTCAAGATAAAGAGCAAATACACAAAAGAGTAAATTTATGGTCTATCAGATGTTGATGAGAGATATAGAGAAAAGGCCAGGTAAAGGGGGTAGAGAGTAAAGGGCATGGGGGAGGGGGAGGGATGGAAGTTTGCTGTTTCGTATGGAGTGGTAAGAGAAGGCTTTACCGAGAAAGCGACAACTGAGCCAATATATGACGGAAGGGAGTAAGTAATTAAAAAATCCAAGAGCAGTCTGGCCAAAAAGACCAGCAACTGCAAAGACTCTGTGAGTCATGTTAGTGCCCACAGTTAGGAAGCTAGTGCCCACAGTTAGGCAGGTGCAGAAAAAGAAATCAGAGAGAGTGAGGGTGAGAGAAATGAAGGAGGAGAGAGGTGTGTGTGCAGATCACATAATTGCCTTTAAGTAGAAGCATTATGGGCTCTAAAATATTCTTTCTTTTGACCTCTGTTCTTTGAAATGTCAAGGAATGACATTTTTAAGTAACTCAGAAAGGGTTTCTGGCCCACAAAATGAGACTAATAAACAGACCCACCTTGTTCCTGCCCAGAGGATAATGTTCCCTCTTCAACAGCAGTTGTTTCTGATTCAACTGTTGGGGCTTTACTCTCAGTTTCACTAGCAGTTGTAATCGTTTCACTTTCATCCTCAGACATGGATTTAATTGTCCAGAGAGATTTTTGGTTTCGGATCTTATTTAATAATTTTTTAAAAAGAATTTTTGAAGGGAGCTGCTGGGTCTTCATTGTCAAGGGAACTAAAAGAAAAGAAAAAAACTTAGCACCTATTATATATCTGGTAAATTGTTCTATCTTTATACTTAGTTACTGCGATACCTACTACTTAAAAGCACAACCTTATTTTCCTCACTATTTATAATTTAACAGTATGTACAATGCTATCCAACCCCAATTGCAGCAATTTTTTAACTTATATTTAAATAAAGACAATAGAATTAAACTATTTCCCAACAATATGCATTCAACACAAATTTCGAGCTTAAACATGTATCAGGAACATGTTTATTCTGCTTGTTAAATGATGGCAGAATGCAACTCTGAATCTGTAAGATTAACTTTGAAAATATGTGCTGTAAAGTTCTATAATCTAAGCTAGACAAGGGTCCTAATTACGGCGCTGCACTTAGTAGACTACAGAGAAAAGCAATACTAGTTAGAACCTTAAAAGCAAATCAAGTGCTCTCAAATTATTCCTGGTACTATCTGGGAAAATTTCCCCCACTTATCATCATAAAGACATCTCTTTAGTTTAAAATTCTTAAGTTGTTTCCTCAAAACATCCTTCCATACGGGCTGATAGTACAATGTCAAAATTCAGTCTAGTACTAACAGTTCTCTAAGGGGACAAAACTGTTCCGCATGGACAGTTTTCTGATGTATGGAATAAAATTTAAGAAATCTACAGAGGGTGAAAACTGGCAGACTGTAGTTTTGTCTGACTCACATTTTCCTTTAACCCTTCTGAGTCATAACTTATAAACAATAAAGTGCACAAAACTAAGTGTACAGCTCAATGAATTTTACATACATCAATGCAACACCATCCAGACCATTACGCAAACCACGTCCAGCACCTAGACAACTCCTTCATGCCCCTTCCAGCCACTGCACCGCTACAGATAACTGCTATTCTTTGAGACCAGATGAGTTTTGCCTGTCTTTTTTCCTTTAACTTCATATAAATATGGAATTACACTTAGGTATTCTTTTCTGCCTGGTTTCTCTCACTCACCATTAGTCTGTAACTCACTCATTTTCAAGAAAGAAATTAACTGACAATATTTAAAAATAAGGACTTTAAAAACAACAATATTCTTAGGTTCTTTTGAAAAAATCAAGAGATTTTTCTTTTTTTTAATTTTTTTTATTTTAATTTTTGTTCAAGTACAGTTTTCTCCCCTTTACTCCCATTCCAGCCCATCCACCCAACCCTCCCCACTTCCCTCCCATTACCACCCTCCCCCTAGTTTTTGTCCATGTGTCCTTTAAATTTGTTCCTGTAAAAAATCAAGAGATTTTTCAAAACCAAGCCAGCAATCCCAAATGTGACCAGCAGGAGCTGAAATGTAACTGTCCCTAGATAGGCAAGATTTACAACCCTGACAAACTAGAGATCTGAATGATATTTCCGATGGAAAAAAAACTAAAAGAGCTGGATGAAACAGTAAAGTATTTTCTTAAAGGCTCTGATTTCGCAAGAAAATATGATTCCACAGAGGCCAGAAATGAAGCTTAAGTGGGAATTCTGGAAAGCAACGAGCCCTGAAACCATATTCTCAAGTTCATGCCAAACCATAATAACCTTACACTTTGTCTAGACAGCAGTGTGGGCCCAACTGTAGGGATAATGCCTAGAGCCTTCCCTCAAGGAGTCCAATAGGAGACCCACACAAAGGCGGAAGCCCGAAGGGCCAACTATCCACAGTGTAGAGTGCAAATGTTAAGAAAGTCTCAGTGATTTTGAACCAAGGCCAAACTACAAGATATGGAGGTAAAGAGGGGTCAAAATGAAGATCGGGTCTCTAAGGAGATATAGAATAAAAGAGAGGGAGGTGTTAGAGATAACTCATTGGTTGGCTTGGAAAACAGTAGACTATAGTATCATTTACTAAGGATGAAGACAGGCAGACAAAGCTTCAAGAGGCAAAAAACAATCAATTTACTGTTAAGACTTGAGTTTTAGTACCCGTGCAACAGACAGCCCAGTAAAAAGGTTTAGAATGGTGAAGGCAGAGATGCAGTTTGGAAGAGATCTAAGTGTGTGTGAGTCATCACTGCGCACGAAGTGCCCAGCCATAATTAACACAGTAGGATGTGTATGGTGCTTTGATGAAAGTCTAAAAAAATATTGATCTTTCAAATGAATTTCAAATTAAGTATCTAAGCATCTAAGTCAAATAGCCTAAAACATCTTCAGGCTATAGGTACATATGAACCAAAAAACTTTCCTCCTATGTATATGAAAAGGATCTTTAATAATGGAAATCTGTAAAAATGCTCTTTCTTCCTTCCACCACTATTAGCATTAGTCACTGTTTGCACTAAATTAGACCAAACTTTTCTAATTGTTAGTGAGCGATTAGCACTTTGTTCTATGAAACATTATAATATTCAATTTTGAAGAAGTTTTTACCGTCTGCTTCACTAGAACATATTATTTCTGCTGCTGTCATTGGGGGGTTTTCAGTTTCACTTAGATTTTCTTGTTCCATTGAAAGGTCCAGTTCTTCATCTTGGATCTCACCAGTTACAGTGGGCAAAGGCTCCGGTTCAAAGTGCAAAATCAGGTTTCCTTTCACCTCTCAATAAAGAAATACAGAGACATGTTTCCATTCCAAAATGACTAAAAAGAACTTGAACATAAACACTGAAAGGCCATCACAGTTTCTAAGTCTAAAATATGAGGTCCCCTTTCAAATGACAACTCATTTCAAAACAAAAAGTGCTTCATCAATACAAATGTATTTTCCCACAAAAGCAGTTAAAAGCATCATTGAAAGTTTATTGAAAATACCTTACCCCTGTCAGCATTGTACATGTCTTCAAAGGCAAATTCTAGCTCTCTCTGCCAGTCTTCCTTCATTTCACTGCGTTTGTATGGAAGTTCAAGTAGTTGTGGTGGCATCTGTGCTACAGTCCGTCTCCTACGTGCCAGGTCCTCTTGTTGTAGCTGTTTGAGTTCTTTCATTAGTCTCTCTTGATTCTTCAAGAACAAAGAGAATTAATTTGCAACAGCTGAGTCACAAATTTTGGATTGTAACATTACTAGTGAGGGAAAAGTAAAGGAATCACAAGAAACAGGGCCTGGGGTGCCCTTCCCTCCTTTACCATTATGCTACAAAAAGACATTAATTTATTTATTCAAAAAATATTTACTAAATGTCAGTTACCATTTTTTGATGCTAGAGATACAATCTCACCCCTATCCTAGAGACCAACAAACAGGGAATTAGTATTCTGTTATTAAGTATTGTACTCTAAGATGGTGGGTGGTACTGATTACGCCACAAGCTTCAAAAGCTATAGTTCTCCTTTCTCAGGAAAGCGACGATGGTAGGTTCCATATAAGTTGCCATGTAACTTATATACAATTTCCTGCAGTATACTCTGTACCAGTTCTCCACGAAGACAGCAGCATATACCAGTCTCAGGTCAGAACCAAGACCCGGAGTGCCCATGGTCTAACAGATGATACTTGTTACTTCAGACTCTTAGGAATCACCAAGATTAAAGTGGATCTATATGTATCTCTTTAAGCACAAAGAGTCTGGCTAACTTGGAAGTTAAGCAAGAGTTTCAGTGAGGTTGTCTAACAGAATTCTGGTGGTGGAAGTTATAGAGAGGGCATAAAAGAAGACCTCTGATTCTTTGGGATGAGGATTTAGCCAGATGAAAGTGAGCGCAGGAGTATAAGGAAGAAATAACCACTACGGCACCAAAGTATGGAAATGAAGGCACTGGGTATTCAGGAAAAGTATATTGTATATTATCATTTTAGATAGGACACAGAGGGCAAAGTTACTCAAGGAAAAAATATAAAGCTGAAAAGGCAAGTAGAGGCCAAATACTAGTTATAATAGACACTAGGAGGAAATAAGGCCCCCGAGCACAATGGGGTCTACAGTAGAAAGGTTCAGACAGGGAAAAGGAAACGCTCTAACAGCAATGGGACTGCAGGACTGTGATGGCATTTTTGTCTACAAAATGTAGCCTGTGTAACAAAATGTCAAGTGATAACATACACACAGTACTTAGTCTCATGTAAAGTTTTAAATATTTTATCATTTAGAGATGAAATTTTTTGCCATGCCCTGAACAAGAATCATATTATGAACAAATTCATTTCATTAATGTTAAGTTTCAAACCATCTCATTAAATTAACTTCAGTGTAATTTGAATTAGTACACTATTTCTGGCTCATTGAAAGCTTGGCCTATTTTTCTACTTGATTATTTATAACAACAACTCCCTTTTACTGTGAACTTATGAAATTCAAGGCACAGTTCTAGGGGCTTTATTAAACTCATTTAATCCTCACAAAACAGATGATAAAACAGAACTCAGAGAGGTTGGGTAACCTGCCTGAGATCAAACAGCTAAGGAGTAAAGGAACAAAAATCCAGGCCGACTATGGAGTCTGCTTACTTCACCACTGGACACTGCTGATTTGTGGAGGAGTGCTCAGTTTACTATGCTTTCACATTTTTTCCTATAGGTTTAAGCCTTAGATGAGAGTTACTAATAATAATTCAGATATTCAGTTATTTTAGTCATAATTTACTCCCAATTTATGAATACTAAAATTTAAAGGAGAAGGTCATAATTCAATTCAAACTATACAAATTAATAAGATAGGCATTTTACCAATAAATTTGATTTTAAAAAAGACAAGTAATTAATTCCCACAGAAGCACTTAAAAACTTTCTCAGATGAGCATTTAAAACATCCAAATGCATGAGTCAAACTGAGGACATAAAATCAGACTTCTAAAAAGATTAATCATTTTCATGCTGTTTCAAGAATAAACACTCACTGAACAGGCCTAACAAAAGTGAAGCTAAAACTGTTTAGCGATTTTCATTACATATATTTTGCAGGCAGCAACAGCCATTTTCAAAGCTCTCTGCCAGCAAGGATCACAACTGTACCTCTGAATCAACACTGTGAAGCCAGCATGCGCTTCGCTGAATAAATATTTAATGAATTGAACCCTAAAACAGACAACACAAATGCACTTCAAATAATTAGGAAAGTGATTAATTTCTTCTCAGGCTATTTTTGAACTGATTAAAACATTTAACTTTTAATAAATTTATCATTAGTAAAGATTTTAGAACCGCAATATACTGTAAGTAAGAACAGCTTCACCTATTTGGAACAAGAGGAAAAAGTTAGGAAATTTGAAGTATGTGACTCAGAGACTCTATTTTTCACACTCTTCATACCTCCTTACTTTGAGCCCATTGACTAATCAGCTGTGCGATGCTATTGGCAAGGCTATCAGTAATGGGCATAGCCAGAATTTAATTCTCACCTGTGCCAAATGGATCTTTTTCATTGCTTGGAAACCACGTACATGTGCCTTCTCACTCTGTTCCAATTTCTCTTTCGCTGCTTGTTTTTGTACTTCTTCCAGTCTTTTAGCTTCTTCTTCAGCAGCCAAATGAGGATCTGGCTAGCAGTGAATCAAAAATATTTTAGGCAATTTAAAAGTATAAAAAGAGATAACAAAAAAAAATCCCAACTTTAAAACCATGTTTTTCTACTTACATAAAATTAAATGATAAAGAGTTGTGTTTTTCAAATAAAAAAATGACAACAGCCAATACAATAGCCATCTGGTGTGAATGAATCAAAATTATGCCTATATTTTTGTCAGACTAACTAAAAATATATTTTTTGGTGTGCTGCAGAATTTTAGTAAATAGTTGATAAGAGAGAGGACCCCCACCCCCAAAAAAGGAATTATCTTCTGGAGGGCGGGCCCTTGCAGCACAGGCTTTCCCTGCTGAGTGAGTGTTCTAGAAACCCACCTGTATCAGTGTACCAGCTGGTGTATTGAGAGGCTGTGTCCGGCTTCAATTAATTTTTTTAAAGATTCTTTTAACACATCTACGCGTTTCATGATGGGTGATTTACAAGTGCCCCTGCCCACACTGTGCTAAGTGTTCAGCAGTTTTTGACCAAAAATGGTGTGACGCCTGTGTCCCACCCTCCCTATTTACTCAATCTCACCCTGAGTGACTTTTTTGTGTTTCTCCAGATGAAAAAAGTCCTCAAAGGGAAATGTTTTGCGGATATGGAAAAGGTGAAACAGAAAATGGCAGAAGCACTGAAAGGCATCACAATCAATGACTTCAACTTTTTTGAGCAATAGAAAAAAAGTGTCAATAGGAGTACTGCATCACCTGGAGAGTACTTTGAAGCTGACTGAAGTTTAAACATGTAAGAATAAATACACAATTTTTTATAAATAAATTCCAAGTTTTATGGTGCCCCCCCATATAAGCTATGATGAAAAAGGTTGAAAATTGCTGCACTATACTCATCCAAACACATTCCTTCATCATTTTTTAAGCAAAGAAACCTCATTAAAACAACTAACACTGAAAGGCAAACACCCACAAAGCTCGCAGTAAAGAAACTACAAGCATCAATAGTCACATAAGTCATTTAGGACAGCACTGAGGCTTGTCCTTAATTTTTCACCAACATCCGCTGCTAGGCTTCAGCTTCAAGAAGGCCAAATCACCAAAAACACCTACTTTAATACAATTTCTGGCTTCCTAGAAGTTGTGCATAACACAGGATTATGTGATTGTGCAGTCAGCCATCATATTCATGAACATAACAGTAGTAATACTAAAGGGGGGAGGCATATAACATGATTGTATGTAAACATTCACTTTCAACATTCTAAATGTAACTTTAAGTAAAGATCTTATGTGTTTCATATGTTAAAATTCTATTGGTCAAAAAAAAACACCCCAAACAAAACAAACAAACAAACAAATAAAAACAACCCCCAAATTCTATTGGTCAGTTGAACCAGTAATTAATGACAACAATGAATGCTATTAAGTATCAGCTATATCCCATACTAAAGCTAGACCCCCCCCAACAAAGTCTTTATCAATCTTAATTGATGAAGATAATTGAGATAAATCTACTTAAAACTGCAAAAATGCAGTATAGTAACCACAAAAGTAAGTTAGCAACAGACTGAAGTTATTGCTCCTGCATTATAATATTGAAGTTGTGATGATATTTATAATTTTAAACAAATGTCAAGATTTATTCTTATTTCTTAGAATTCTAAGATGACGATGATACTCATTTTAGGTCTTGACCGAATGTTGATTTTAACAGCCACTATTAAGCAATCAACCAAAATGTGTTATTTGTTGCACTCCAAACTCCAGATGAATGCCATATTGAGAAAGTTTATTTTCTTGTAGCCAAATGCATGACACACACAAAAAAATTTAAAACCCAATGTTATAAAGAAATAGTAATTATAATAACAAGAAGATACCATCTGTCATTCTTAAGATTGGCAAAAAATATTTAAACCATAATATTCCACACAGACAAGGGTGTAATAAGATGGCCATTCTCATAAATTGCTGGTGCTTTTTAGAGGCAATTTAATGACTTACATCGAGTAGCTATATCTAATGTTATAGTTTGGAACCAGTAATTTCTCTTCAAGGAATCTGATCTAAACACAATCAGATTTATAGACAAAAATGTATAATATTATTATGTTTACATTATTTACAGAAGGAACAATAGAAAAATGGTTAAATAAATTCTATGATGAAATATTAAGCCAAATATGTTTTGAAAAGTATGTGTATATGTTTATATATATTTAGACTACAGTCAATTCATTTATGTAATTAACCATATTTCTTTTTGGTGACAGAATCAGAGATATTTTTCTTATAGTTTAAGCTTGTGTGTATAATTCCAAAATTTTCACAGAGCATGTATTTTTTTTGTTAAAAGTTTTAAAATTTGTTTCTTAAAAATATAACCTTCCAAATAGCTAACTCCTTTCATCTGTATTAAACCTCATTCACATTAAACATGACATAATTCAAAGCATTTCTGAAAGATTTCAAAATCATTATTACTCTATGATGGTTAGTAGAGTTGTTCAAATTTTGACATCTGGGAACAACCTACAAAGAACCAAGACATAACTCAATACAATGAACAGAGAAATAATGAAGTGAGGGTGATGAACAAACATTAAGTCAAGCACCTGTTTTGTGTCTGCCTCTCTATTTACAAAAGTGGAAAGATGATGGTAGGTAGAACTACTGGTTTTCACATTAGAAATTCTCTTTACTTCAATGTTCTGAAAAATAGAACATAGAAAATAGAATGTTAGATTAAAAGCATTAATTTTCATTTAAGCCTGGATCCAATACAAAAAAAAATTTTGTATTTTCATCAAGTATCCTTATTCATTTTTTTCACATGGGATCATGGCCCGAATGTCCATTAAACTGGAATTTAGGTTTAAAGTCTAGATGTTGTGTAATCATATCAGGAGGCACATAATAAGTTGCTCCACTATTATTGATTCTAAGTTTGGTCATTTGGTTATGGTGGTTCATGCCCACCGATAGGTGAAAGTTCTCTTTTCTTTCCTCAAACAGAACTAGGCCCATGAATAAATCTAGAAGGATTATAGACACCTGTCTGGTGCCAAAATATCATCTCTCAGATTACTTAGTAATTGAAAAGAGAAAAACATACCTTTATGATGGCTATCTCTTACAAGATAGTGTGGTCACCACTATAACCAAATCAGACAAATACAGAACATGAGAACCTCAAACTACTGTCTTCAAAATGTCCAAAATAAAAGACTTGGCTAGGGTTAGGGGGAGATGATGTTCTACATTAAGACACCAAAGAGACAAAATAAGCAGAAGCAATAGGTGAACCTTGACTTAGACCCTGGTTTAAAAAAAAAAGCTGTAAAATAAGACAATTTAGGGGCAATTGGAGAATTTTGATTATAAACTAAACATTAAATGGATTTAAGAAACTAATGTTAATACTTTAAATGTGTTATTGAAGCTGCATACAGGAATATCCTTATTCTCACAGGAAGCATAGGGAAGTATTTAGGGTGAAATGTCATCTCCACAATTTACATTCAAATGAATACACCCATATGCAACATTTGAAATCTATACACAATGCAAACAGCTATTCACTGTATTCTTTTAATTTCTCTGTATTTTGAAAATTTTCATAATAAAACATTGGGGGCAAGGGATAGTATCCACCCAATATATCATTCACATTTGCTAAATTATGCAGTTTTTCTGGCTTTTTGTAAATTTTTGACTTTGGTTTGTTGGGAACATTAGAAGTTATGACAAAGGTAAATCAAGGCATCATGGATAAAATACTGACTGCCTTTTAACATGGTACTGAGGGAGTAACTGAAATCTGACTCTGCCATTTGAATGGTGGTTGGGTCAAATGTGATATGGCAGATGGCTTAACATAATAGCAGGAAGGCTCACAACAAGAAAGGCTTAAGAGGTGAATATCAGGTACTTATGTTGATAGCAAATACATAAAATATACCTGACTACACAGTTAAGTTAGACATCCCTATATTGGTATAGGTTTTGTCTTTTCTGTGTAATTTTGATAATCATCCAAAGAGCCATCTTAATAACTACAAAAAACTAATGTGAACAAGAGAATCAATGCCTTTTAAAATTAATTTCCACTTCACATAAATTAAATGTTGTTTCAAAAATAAGCTGTAAATCACAAAAGCACACATTTTACTCCCATAAAGAGACCTCTCTCATCATTTTATGTAATCTTGTGTAAATTTATTAATTTACATGAACCTAATTTCTTTATCTTATAACATGGCAACTATTTACAATGGTTATATCCTGAATGTGGAAGTCTATGGAACAAATAATCCAGTTTTTTTAAAGGGTATTTTTTAAAAAATAGACTATTCAGTTTTTTTAAAAATCAAAAAGATTACAGGTTTTCAAACAATAAAAAATATATTTTGAGACGAGTGGAGAAAACTGAACAGACTGTTTTAGAAGATTTTGGGAATATTAGTATTGTGCCAAAAAAAAAAGAAAAAAGTCCTTTCACACTGGAGGTACATACTAAAGCATTTACAGGTAAAAGTGACAACTAGAACTATTTTTAAATACTCCAGATATACTCATGTGTTACTTCTATAATTAAAATTAAGTTAAAGGAAATGATATTTTGATCTGCAATGAATTCTAATAGCAAAGAATTATTATTATAACCCAGTTCTTAACACCCCAAGTAATTCATTCACCTCAAAAAGAGTTGGTGGAGGAGGTGGCAGACTTGTAATTTTGGCAGATCTCTCTTTTTCCACAAGCAGTGCTTCCTTTCGAGCTTTTATGTGCCTTAAAAAACAAGAGATGTCATAAATTACTTTCTCAGACAATATTACAGTACAACTCTTTAGGTTAAAAATATAAAAGTTAGAGGATTTCAAGAAATCCTCCAATCTGATCCCCCAGGCTCATTGCGTGTTTAATACAGAATCTATACAAAATAGGCATGTAAAAAAATGTTTACCAACTGAAAGAGATGTGTCTAAAGACATGAATCTCTACAGTGGGGACTGATCCAACAAACTGCTAAAGTTCCTTAGTTTAGGATAATTTTTAGAGTAAAAAACACACAAACAAACAAAACCACAAGGCATATTGATGAAGATCAGCCACAGTATAAAATGACTGCTGCTGACTATTACCAGGCTCTTCCATTTTTTATTAACATGCAGAAATACTCACTAATGGCTTCCAAAGAGTCTATAACCTCTTTTAATGTTCTTAATCACACTGATTTTTTTATTTTTACATCATAGGCAGAGAGATTTTGGTTGACATGCATTCTGAACTAGCCATACATTTCTACATAAACTTAGTAATTGTTGCTAAAGTCAGGCTAGAAGGCAAAGTTCATTTGTTACTATGTTCACCTAAGCAAAACACCCCCCTACTGCATTATTTTTAAACCAAGTTAACAAACACAATGAATACACTGTGACTTTTATTTAATAACTGTTTAAACAATACCCAACACAGCCTTTACTTCTAATCGTATCAGTTTCCATGGAGAATATGGTAAAAATTATTACTTTACCAGGTTTTTTGTTTCATTAACATTTCTTTTTGATTTTTCTGTACTTTCAGGGCCTCTTTATGCCTTGCTTCTGCTTTTCTTTTTCTTTCTGCTGCCCTCTGTGCCAGAGCATTCAAATCAGGTTCCTAAAAATATATGTAAGCTATTAAATCATGTTAAACAAGATTAAAAGGTAATATTATACATTACAACCCTTGGTGCTACCCCAGTCAGGGCAAAAATCATTAATGTGGTATGCAAATGACTACAGTTTAGGAAACACTGCACTGGAGCAAAAAGTTAATGGCAGCATAAATGAAGCCACAAAAATCTGATGTCAGAACTTGAGGTCATTACTAAAAAACACAGACTAAAACCAAGAACCACGGAACATATTTGACTTCCACACTCTTCAAAGATATTTCTTTCCCCCAGTACTGGTCTGATATCAAAGACTTGCCAGCTTTGAAACCAGCTTGTTTATTTTGTGTGACTGTCTCTGGGACTGCAATCTAAAACAGGCATACATTGTTTCATTGCACATCATGTTACTGCACTTGATGGTGTGGTTTTCACAAATTAAAGGTTTGTGGCAACCCTGAATTGAGCAAATCTATTGGCTCCATTTTTCCAACAGGCTCAGATGATGGCTATCATATTTTAATAGTAAAGTATTTTGTAGCTAAGGTATGTATATATATTATTTTTTAGACATAAATCAAGTATACACTTATTAGACTATAGTATAGTGTAAATTTAACATTTATATGCACCAAGAAATCAAACAATTCATGTGACTCATTTTACTGCAGTGGTCTGGAACCAAACCTGCAATATCTCCAAGGTATGCTTGTTATTTTCTAACCATCAATAACAATAAACAACAAAATAAGGTTCAGGTAGTAGTTTCATATACTGACTTAAGTTCTACTTTGCCTCTCTGAGAGTCATTTACTAAGTGTGAAGGAAATCCAGGTGTATATACATTCAGCTATGTATGACGAGGTGTGTCTGGAAAAAGTCCAGCCATTGTTACTATAATGAGAATGGCCTGCATGACACCAATGTAACCTGGCAGCCAAGGAAAGAGGATTGGAATGTGTATGTGTGAACAGTGATGACTTCACTGTAGTAGTTAGTGGGGTGGTAGATACCACTAAGTGAGCATGTGTTCTGTGTGGCCATCACATTCAAAATGACTGAGCAAGTAGAGCAACGAATCTACATCAGATTTTGAATTAAGCTTGAACATTCCTCCATGTAAACTATTCAGATGATTCAAAAGGCTACCCCATGGGTGACTGGTGATGGGCAGCTTCATCATGACAATGCACCCACTTATGCATTACGTCTCATGCAGAGTTTTTTGGTGAAACATCAAATCACCCAGCTGACTCAGCCCCACTACAGCCCAGATTTGGTGCCCTGAAACTTCTGGCTTTTCCCAAAAGTAAAATCACCTTTCAAAGGGAAAAGGTTTCAGACTGCCAATGAGATTCAAGAAAATACAACAGGGCAGCTGATTGTGATTGGGAGAACTGTGTGAGGTCCCAAGGTGCCCACTTTGAAGGGGACTGAGGTGCCATTGTCCTAGGTACAGTGTTTCTTGTATTTTTTATCTTCTTCAATAAATGTCTCTATTTTTCATATTACATAGCTGGATACCTTCTGGACAGACCTCATATGTTTTAGAGGTATGAGGAATGATAATGAAATGGGAAATTTGAATTCACCCCACCAAATCTGCTAGAAATAACAACTTCTAATTAAGATAGTTACTACTTTATTTACCCAGACAGTTAAAGACTAGAAGAGAATAATGACACTTAATGAACCTAGCAACATTCTTAAATTATATTACATTTAAAAAATTCAGGCTGTCAAAAACAAATTCTATATATGAAAACATTTTTTATCAGACAAATATTTAACAACTACAATTTATTTTAAACCAAAATTACTACCACTGACAGGCAGTTAAATTTCACCTACATTTTCTTTGGCTTGTTGGTGTCCTTCTCCCATATTTCTTAAACTTGCCAAATATAGTTTTTCCAAGTTGTTTATTTTCTGAGTTTGTGATTCTTCCCATTCTGCCCTTAATACCTCTGCCAAACGAGTAAATTGCTGATTTCTCCTTTGTTTTATACCTTCTCTTATCTGTAAAGCGATATCCCTTTCTTGTTCTCGAACCTGAAGAATGAATATTTAACAGATTATATGAAAAGAGTACTAAAATTCTTTTGAAAAGCTATTTGGAAATAGAAGTTTAAATGAATTCTCTTTAGGCCTATCAATTCTCCTAAATTTCATATTTTACTAGCTAAGCTCTATGTAAAGCAAAAAGAAATCTAAGTGACACAGAAAAAAACGAAAATCTCAAGACGACTTCTAAAATTTCCTAAATGATTAGCTATTATTACCCACCAAGCACTAATAATGGTACTGCTATTATCATTCTAATAACCTAACAGAAGATGCTAAAATGGTTAAGCATGATTCGACAAAATTTATAACCCAGATGAATACAGATAGAACTAGATGAGAACTCCTATCTGTGGTACATCACCCCAATTCTAAGCAGAATGGCACCTAAAATATGCTTCACAAAGACTTAACTTTGTCTAAAGACTTCTAGAAAAGAAAAATCTACAATGTCTTAATAAATTTGCTTCAGTGGGTAATAATCTTTTCAGTAAGTCTTCTTCAAAGTCATTCTCATCTTCTTGTTCTAATCTTCATCAGGTACACATTATTTAAAAAATATGTAAAAAACTATCTTCCAATAATTATTGAGTCAAATCACCCCATCCTTGTCAAACTCTTCTTCAATCTATTTACCATTTTGGTCTATTTTTCAAATATTCCAAAACCAGTTAGTATGCAAAAACCAGGGCTCTTATACAGCCAGGAAAGGTTTTTAAATGTAACATTTTATTTAGAGTACTCTAATAATAAAAAATATTAATAATTTAGGGAAGACAAAGAATTTAAAACTTCAAAAAAAATCTTACCTGTAACAATCTTAGTTTTCGTCTTCTCTCAAAATCTTCTTTTAAAATGAAGGCTTCCTCATTAGGACTCAGTCTCACCTTGCTGGCATTCACTACCTTTCTTTTCATTTTTGTGTTCCTTAAATATAAAGGTTCTGAATTTTAAAAAAAGAACAATGTCTATTAAAATAAGGCAGCAAAGGTAATTTTTAAAATACATATTAATGTATTTGACAGTTAAGGGGCTGTATACATACAAATAAAATAATTTGGGTAAACAAAATCCAACTTATTTACATCTATCAATGATTAATTTAGCGCTCAAATGAATGAATGGTTCTCAGATAGATGGGAAGGGGTTAAGTGGAGGATAACCAGAAACACTAGAAAAAAATTTTCCCCACTGACAGCAGATTATTGTTTACCTTAGAATATCTGGGACCTGACTTATTTCTGATTGGGATTTCTAATTTACTTAGCTTAAATGTAAAAAAAGCACAGGCTTAAATAGATTAGCACAGAATAAATGTTTTCACAATTACAACTTAACAATTTAATAACCTGTGCATAACCAGCAAGACTGCTGTAACTGCAAGGGCTCCTGGTCCCTAGATTCAACTTCCAATCTGTGGTACACAATTTGATCCCTAAATGTCATTGTATGAAGTCACATCAACCCCTGAACATTAAACAATTCTATGAGTTACAATGGTGTGATTTTTAATAATCATTTTTGTCTTTTATGTTGTTATTGTTGTTTTTAATTCTCACCTGAGGATACTTTTATTGTTTTTAGAGAGGAAGGGCGGGGGGACAGAAACACTGATGAGAGAGAAATATGGATCGGTCGCCTCCTGTACACAACCCAGCCAGGGAATGAACCAACAACCTAGGTATGTGCCCTGACCTGGAACTGAACCCTTAACCTTTCCATATGGGACAACACTCCAACCGAGTGACATGGCCACAGCAATATATATAATGAGTTAAAAAAATTCTCTTGGAACAATTCTGTTTGGATGAGTTGAGTGTTTAGAGTCCCAGTTCTATTTTTCTAGTGGTACTGCTTATACTTGGGCATTCTCATTCTGTTCCTGAGATTACCATGCCCCTATTTGGGCGAGTCTGCTGGAGAGAAATGGAAAGAATATAAGAATCGGTAAATTTCTGTGATTTGGAAAACTTTCTCAGGTCCTTCTGATATCTCCTCATTCCCATCACTACCATTTTTAAAAATTTTGAATATTCACCATTCCATTTGCTAGAGGATTACAGGAAGACAAACATACATTTGTTATTTTCACCTAGAGGTGATAGAATAACCATTTTCTCTTGTATATAACTTTAAAAAAGTTTTAACATATTTGCAAATAATCAGAATTCCCATATACTTTTCTCAGCTTCTCTAAATTTTGACATCTTAGGTAATCACAGTACAATAATCAAAAACAGGAAATTAACACTGGCACAATACTTTTAACTAATTTACAGAAAAAGTTAAAAATCTTCAAATTTCATCAATTTTCCTACTAATATCCATTTTCTGGACCAGGACCCAATCCAAGGAAAATACTGCAATACACTGCATTTGATTGTTGTGGTATTCTAGATGCTAGGGTGGGATTAAACCCACAGATATTTTATTAGGGGAAATGCCTATATCAGAAAAAATGGGAAGAGAGTTGGTAAAAGGTGGGAACACTTCAGACTTCCACGTGAATGTGACCCTGAGAGAAGGAGGGAAGTAAGTTGGGTAGATGCCTCCTAAATGGCCATGCTGTCTAAACAAGGTTCAGCAAGACCTGTGGGGAGCCCTTGAGCAAGTCCCTTGTTTCTCAGGAATAGGCCTGCGGTGCTCAGTTACTGGCCAGGCTCTGCAGTTGGCCAGAGCAGTTGGGAGGAAGTGGGCCTGAGAAGGGACTCCAGAATGCAGATGCTCCAGTCTCAGGGCTGCAAGGTGCCATGTCTCCATCAGCTCCTCTAACCTGGGACAGTTCCTCAGCCTGTCTTTCTTTCCAAGATCTTGACATTTTTGAAAAATACTGACCAGTTATTTTGTAGAATTCCCTCAATTTGGATTTAAGCTTTTCTTGTGGTGAGGATGAGGTTATCCGTTTTTGGCAAGAGCACCACAGAAGTGATAATGCATCCTTCTCAGTGCATCAATCACCTTGGGAGGTAAATGAGGCTAACTACTCTTACTACTGGCGATGTGAATTTTATCAGGTGGTTAAGGTGGTATCTCCCTATCAGGTTTCTCCTACTTTTCCTTTGTAAGTATCTGGTGGAGAGATAGTTAAGGCTATATAAGTATCATGTTGCTCCTCAAACTTCTGCCAAGTTCAGTATCCTCTGATTGCTTTCTAAAGCAATTACTGCACAGCTTATCCAAGGTATTTTGTTTCTGTTACTCCTAGAACCTACTCTTACATTTGGAATCATTCTGCAAGGAATAATTTTCCCTGCTCCCTCACTAATTCAATATATAGGTCTTTTAAAGTCTATGTATTATTGCTATCCAGTAAGATACTACTTACTTTGCAAGATTTTGTTCAGATTAAATGGTACGTGACACACTGTAATCACAAAATTAATACTGGACTTAGAAGACTGGGTTCAAGATCCAACACTGCAACTTAAAGCAGAAATACAATGGCCAGTCACTTAAATCACTTTGGTCTCCTTTTATTAGACTATACAGTGGGAGTAATAACTACCCTAACAGGTTGTTCTGATGATTATGTGACTTAATGAATGTGAAACTACCAAATGTTTTCTAGGTATTAAAAACTCGAACATTCCCTAATGTTATAAAAGCCAGGTTCAAGGAAGGACTCAATGCCTGAGAAGTTAAAGATGACAGACACCAAAAAAGAGAACGCTCTCCGCATGAAATGATTCCAGGCGGTGCTCTTAAACGGCTACCAGGTTTGAGGCCAAGCCCACCGTGATCTTGGGCACCACCTCGGGGGCTGGGGGGGAGGGGGCGGCAGGACGCACGGTGAAGAGTTTGTAGCAGCAGCAGGAGCAGCGGAAACGTTCCCGGCTGCCCACTACTTCGAATTTCAGAGATCCCCGCGAGATCTGACCCCCGGAGACGCTTCGGGCCGCACGCGCAAAGGCCCTGGCGGGGCCTCTCGCACGAGCGGACGGGGCTGGGTCGGCCGCGCCTCTGGTCCCGGAGCTCCTAGTAGAGGAAACCCAGGCCGAGCCAGGGAAAGCGGCCCGCCGGGGTCTGAGACCCGCAGACTTTGGTGCCTTCTCTGCGCCGTGCCTTCCCGGAGTCCCCTTCCTGCCGAGCACACTCCCAGCTCCCAGGCTTCAGGGAGTCGTGCACGCCGGGAGCACGGGGAGCCGGCGAATCCGTCACTCACCTGAGAACCGGGGGTCGGGAGCCAGGAAACGCAGCTCAGACTGGGAAGGCCCCGGCGGCCGCCGCCAATCGGCTTCCCAACAGCAGTTCGTGCGCCTGCGGGGCGGCCTTGGCCGAGCTGCCGTCACTTCCGTCATTCAAACCGCCCGCCAATGGCGGGGCCAAGCCGCGGGAATCCCGGGACTCCTGCCTCCCCCGGGGGCAGCCGGGACGGCCGCGCCGGAAAAGCCCGCGCCCCGCGCACGCGCGCGCGCTCGCCCTACGCACAGCCCCATTATTTCTCACACTGCGGCCTTGAAGTATTACTTCATTTCTCTCACTATGCTCGTTTCACAGGTTACGAGACAGAGGTCCAGAAAGGGGAAGGTGTTTGTCCAGAGCCCTGAGGGTGGCTTTAGTCTCAAGTTACCACCGTGAAGATGCCTTGGGATTTGCATCCTTTTGTGTGCCGACTACACAATTCGTTCAGTACGACGATGCTAGCTAGTTTCTGGTTGCTTTCTTGGCCTCCAGCTCGTACAACAGCGAACCGTATCGTGATACGCTGTGTCTCCAGAGGTCCAACACACCTAGAATACGTCAAGGATTTATCTGCTGTAAAGAAACTATAACCAGAAAGGGGACGAATACAAATTTCATATTTATTGAGCATCTATTATGTGTCAAATACAGTGACGGGGAGACAAGGGCATATCAATTATGGCCTTTACCCTAGATTTTGTAGTACAGTTAAACATACCAGGAATTAAAGGATTAGAAAATGGGGAGTGAGGTAGAGGAAAGTTGCTGACCTGATCAGATCTGGTTTTCTCCTGCAGAAAAGGTCGGAGGGAGTGAAGACTCAAGGCACGGACACCAATTAGGATACTGCTACAGGAAGTGAAAAATGCTCACACAGAGAATCAAGAGAAGTGAGTAGGTTTAGGACACAAATAGGATGCCGAACATCAGGAATTGGTAGTCACATAGTCATGGAAGTCAAAGAAGGAGAAATCAACCTTGATGCCCAGTTCCATATTTGGTGACTAAGTAGATGGGGGTAATATCCTACTAGAACACTGGAAGAAGAGCAGGTTCGAAGGAGGACATAATTAGTTAAGCTTTGAATACTTTGATTTTTGTGCTGTTTATGGGATATTTAGACAAAGGAATAAATTGCAGAAATGTTTAGGAGGCAAAATTAGCAGTACTAAGAAACAATTGCAGGTGAGGTTGAGGGAAAAGAGTGAAGTTAACCTCACACGCTACTAGCTTAGGGAGTGATGTTCATGATGGTGCCACCAACCAAGGAAGAAAGCAGAAGTGGGAGTTAGTGAAGTGGCAAGGTGGTGAGCTCAGCTCTAGACACATTGAATTCGTGGAGTGTACAGTGATGTTCAGTAAACATGAATACAATGGTAGCCCACATTTTTTTAGTAATACTTAACCTGCCCTCTTCATAGAGTGGTTGTGAGACTCACAATGCATGAATCCTATGAGAGCATTTTGTAAACTCTAAAGAGGTAGTTTAACAGCTATTTTATTTTTTCTGTCTAGCACCTTTCTACCCTCTTCTGATACAGACCCAGCCCTCCAGGCCACAGGGGTTGGCATGTGACTCAGACAGGGTAAATCATAGTTCTTTATCTCTTTTGCCACTGGGATTGACCCAGGGATGGGTACATAATCTAAATTGAGTCAATAAGAGTCGTTCCTGTGGATTTTCTTACCTGAGCTGTGAGGGATGGTTATTTTCCTCTCTGGGCTCATGTTAGGATGTGAAACGGAAGCTTTCCCAAATGACCCACCATGTGGACTCCCATAGCTGGTTTGGAAGAGTCTGACATTCAGCAATGAACACATAGAGAGACTCCTGATAGTGTGCAAGTCCCTGGATGTCAGACCATTCTGTAAGTTGCTGATAGGAGCCATTAAAGTACCTCCTTTTACTTAGCTGCTTTGAATGGGAGTTTTTCTTCTTTGCAAATTAAAAGAGGCCATAGATTTATATTGAAATTCTCACAAATAACATCTTGGCATTTGGGGAAATACTACAGAACAAAAATTAAGATCTTGGACCTAGAATTCAACTGCCTGGATTTAAATTTCTGGCTTAGCAACTCTGACTTTGAGCTAGTTCCTGAACCTCCTGAAAACTCAGTTTTTTTCATCTTTCAAGGGGATGTAGTAAAAGTACTCAAAAGATAATTGTGAGGTTTAAAGCTCTTAAGACAGTGCCTGACACAAAGTGTGCAATAAATGTTATCTTTTCTGGCTTTTATTTTAATACATTCATTTTAGACTACAGGAGGCCAAAAAAAATCCTCAAAACCTTTAAAGTGTATACTGGTGTTTTTGGCTTAATTTTTAATTAGGTCCTTTTGTACTTTATAGGCCTAGGGAGGAGAATGTAAGTTAAGCTTCTAGTGTTGTTATCCCTCTAGGAATGAATGTTAATAAACAGTGACCAAGAGGAAGAGTTGCACCTAGACAAAAGTGTCTTTAGTGTGACTGGTCACCATGTAATGCTGCCTCATCTCAGAATGCAACTGAAGCCTGTTAGCACTGGAGCCTTTTAAGGCTTTTTTGATGGTAGTGGCGTCACTGTTCTAAGTTCATTTTCAACTCTATCCATATCCAATATGAGGGACCGACATTAAAGTGGGAGGTGGATGGCTCCTTAATTCTCATGTATGAAATCCAGAAGAAAGCAAATCTCTGCAAGAACTGGAGCAGGCTTCTAGCTGACTATCTGTCAACTGCCCTCTTTCTCTCTGACATAAACACCACAAGACCTTAACAAGCAATAGTATTTCAATAGGCTAATTTAGAGCTGCTATGGGAGTGAAATGGAGAGTGCCCAGCAGGAGAGAAAAAGGGTGCTGGGAAATGCTTTTGAAAGCTATAAATATTCTTTTAAAGGTGTGTGGGTAGGTGGGGTGGAATTTGGCCATTTAGTTAAGAGTGAGAAATGAGAAGAGAGAATGAGAAAATTAATTGATTTTGTTTCACCTTTTAAATCTTTTTGAGCACATTGCTAACATGATATTTATTAATATTTGTTAAGCCATAATAAGTGACTGTGAGTTACATACTTGAAAGGATAGGAGGCTTAAATGACAAGGGGAGAAAAGGGAATTATCTACAATCCAGAAAAGCACTAGCAGCTGGGGAGGATCAGGTGGAGGATCAGGTGGGGTGGGGAAGCATTTTGCCGCTGTAGTCTGATGATGTGGGGTTGAACATCTGCTTGATCAGCAGTTAATCTCTCGGAGGCTCAGTTTCTATCTATAAAATGAGGATAAAAATACCCAAAATTTATTGGGCATTTTATGTGCCAGGAATTTTATTTCTTGAGTATATTTTATTGGTTATGCTATTACAGTTGTCCAAATATTTTTTCCTGTGCCGCTCTCTGTCGGGTACCTCCTTTCCCTCCAATAATCTACCCCCCTTAGTTCATGTCCATGGGTCGTACATATAAGGTCTTTGGCTTCTCCATTTCCTATACTATTCTTAACATCCCCCTGTCTATTTTGTACCTACCAATTATGCTTCTTAATCCTTGTAGCTTTTCTCCCATTTTAATGCATCCCCCTCCCCACTGATAACCACCATGTGATCTCCATTTCTATGATTCTGTTCCTGTTCTAGTTGTTTGCTTAGCTTGTTTTTTAGATTCAGTTGTTGATAGTTGTGAGTTTTTGGCCATTTTACTGTTCATGGTTTTTATCTTCTTTTTCTTTCTTTTTAAAGGTTTTTATGTATTTATTTTTAGAGAGAGGGGAAAGGAGAGAAAAAGAGAGGGAGAAAAACATCAATGTGTGGTTGCCTCTCATGCACCCCCTACCGGAGACCTGATCGGCAACCCAGGCATGTGCCCCGATTGGGAATCAAACCAGCAGCCCTTTGGTTCTCAAGTCAGTACTCAGTCTACGGAGCCACACCAGCCAGGGCTGATCTTCTTTTTCTTAAATAAGTCCCTTTAACATTTCATACAATAAGGACTTGGTGGTGAGGGACTCCTTTAGCTTCACTTTGTCTGGGAAGCACTTTATCTGCCCTTCCATTCTAAGTGATAGCTTTGCTGGATAGAGTTATCTTGGTTGTAGGTCCTTGCTTTTCATCACTTTGAATACTTCTTGCCTGCAAAGTTTCTTCTGAGAAATTGTAACTGGAAAAGACAACGGCGTTCAGGCTGCCTGTCACTACCAAATCCAATAAGCAATGACAGTGATTGAATCTTTCATAGGCTCTTTATTCAGATGGCCAGCGATCCGAGAAGATGGCGGGTTCATACCCTAACAAACCATCTTCCCCTTTCTTTCCTGGCCAGATCTTTTTTATAAGGGGGGTTGGGAAAGACAAAAAAAGAAGTCAATGAGAGAGAGTCCTTGAGGTTCCCAGCTGCACTTCTATCCTGGCAATTAGCTGTCTCCAAGTGGGAGGGGTAGTCGCCTGCTTCTTCCAGATGCTGATCTCTAGCCAGCACCCCAGGAGGTCAGCTGCTTTTTCTCAGGTCCCAGATGGGCCTTATCTGTAGTTTCTGAAACAAAGAGCTTAACATATGCATTACTTGCTAGATTTATGGCTATTTACCTTAAGCTAAAATTTTCTAAGTCTTAAGCCCCTTATCAAAATCAGCTGATAGTCTTATTGGAACTCCTTTGTAGGCAACTCTCTTCTTTTCTCTTGCTGCTTTTAAGATTCTCTCGTTATCTTTAACCTTTGGCATTTTAATTACGATATGTTTTGGTGTAGTCTGGATCCACATTTGGAGATGTCTTAGAGTCTTCTTATTCTCTCCACATTGTTTATAAAATTCTTCTTTCATCACTCTGTACTGGTTGACTGTTTATTTCTTCCTTATGTTCCAACTCATTGATTTGGAACCCCAGCTTCTTTCTCTTCACTGTTGATTCCCTGAGAATTTTTCTTTATTTCACCCAGTGTAGCCCTCATTTCTTCCCTTATATGTTTGCCGTACTCAGTCAGTTCTGTGAGCATCCTTATCACCAGCGTTTTGAACTCTGCATCTGATAGGTTGGCTATCTCCATTTTACTTAGTTCTTTTTTCTGGAGTTTTAATCTGTTCTTTCATTTGGGACATATTTCTTTGTCTTCTCAATTTGGCAGCCTCCCCG